ATAGCCTACACAATTCAATGCCCGTATTATGATAGCTTTGGAGCAATCCACCGGAGTGCTCACCGTGATGTGCGATTGGTCCATTGTCTTGCCATTTATATCTCTAGCCCGACCTCTGTAACCCTGAACTTGAGCGAGGTCAACATGACGTAATTTGGTCACTGTGTCAGAAGTTGGAATGGTGTAGTGGTGAAAGTTTTATTACTCGAGTGTGTATTCCAATGCAGAATGAATGAAGTTGATTGCAAATAAAATCAGTTCACCAAACAAAGTAACAAGAAGAGAGTGAAAGAATTAGGTCCTCACCAACCCAAAGATATCAAAATAATACAACAAACAAAAAGTGGAGTGGCTTACAGCCAGCATTAGCAAATTGCCTACTCATTGTAGGCCTGCTGTTTCTTCTGTCTGCTTTTTGGAACTGAGGACCCAAAGTAATAGTCTAAGACAGGTTTTACTGATCTTGTCCATGTGAAACAACGCATTAAAGTCACGAGTCATCAAGAGGGCACGTAAACAATGCCGTTAAGTATCATACTTCGGACAAGTAGACATAGAAGCGTAGCTTGTCGTTGGTCATCGCATTGCAACGTCTCACAATAACGAACCAGTGAGAAAGAACAGGCACGTAGTGTGTAACTTACACTGTAAGGTTATCGAATGTATTTTGTTCTGTGAAACTCACGAACTCGCCCGTCGCGGTCATAAAAAGGGTGATTTGTCGGGGAACTGGGGTATTTTTTCGCTAACGCTATGCAGGCTTTTACTTTTGGACATTTTTTGCACACTCTACAAAATGCATCTGCGTTCTCCTAAGCGTTTGTCACCGGAATATTCCATGGCCGTCTCAAACAAAGTGGAATTTACCGTCTCGACTAATTAGCACAGTCTTCATTTGGAAAGGAGAGATCCAGCTTTGTCTTGCAGAAATTCAGTCTGAGCAGTGGGAAGATATAATTCCATCCACGATGGTATCCGTAATGTATTAAAGAGCGAAACATTGATCTTCTTTTTGCACTTTTTCAACAAAATATTCACGCACGTTGACGCTGTTTATGGGATCCTCTAACACAGAAGCACAACGCCCATAGCAACCTAACAAACTCTAGACACGTTTAAGTAGCCGTCGATGAAATAAGAAACACGACAGTATACGTATTCTAATTTCTATCAACAAAACAGACCACAGAAAACACGTACACTTCCAAGAAAAGCAGACATTACAACACCAACGAAATTGCTGCAAAGCAGGCTTGTGACATGATAGTTTCTCCAATTGTTGACAGCTTCTTGAAGCAAAATAAATTCAACGCACTATCAATCTTCGACTCCTCCAAATTCCAGGACTGCCAAAAATCGTTTCCCACAGTTCTTTTAGGATCGTTTACAGAAATATAACTGTTTTGCATAAAATCAAGTTACAAACAGATTTATAAGTATTGCATTGTAATGAAATATTTAAGTCTGCACAAGGTCGTACAATCCAGGGCCTTTATTCAACTCTGAAGGACTACAAACTCGACACAACATTAATTTAGAGAAGTATGCAAAATCCTAGAAATCGCACGGTCGTTTCTGTCGATCCACAAGGACATCATTGACAGCATCTCCAACTTCGTCAACAGAATAATGGACACTCTTGCTGCAGAACCCCCCCCCCCCCCCCCCCCCAACGAAATGAAGACTTTTTCTTCAAATAGATTTTCTCTAAACAGGCAGGATGAAGAAACCATCTCATTTACCATGCCCTTGACTATCTTCAACCTGCTTTAAATTGTGCACGCCCACTAACGCCCCTGGTAGTGTAGGTTGATCTTGATCTAGACTAGATCTATTAACTTTTAGTATTTATTACTAGATCTAGATCTACTTATTAAGTGTTTGGGATAACAGCAACAACCGAAACAGCGGGGAAATTAAAAGAATTAATTAGTTTATTATTATTGGTTTACATCATTATAATCAAAAAGATAATAGCGAATCGACGACGAGACGATACAACTTTGTTTACAGTGTGTGCTTCGCATGGAAACATGATGGCTGAAAAGTAGGGAAAGGATTCAAAATGTTTGGATATTTTCATGTCCATTCATTGAATTCACTGAATGAAGAACTTACTTGAAAAAGTAAGTTTTGTGCGTAGCTGGAACAAATGAATATTTACTTGCGGTCAATTATTTAGATCTAGATCTGGATGTAGACATCTAGATCTAGATCTAGATTAGATTCTAGATCTAGATTCTAGATCTAAATCTAGATCTAGAGTTATTAAAGATCAGTTTGTGATTGTTGATTGTGGAAGGAATGCATGGCATGGTGATCTACACTTGGAGTAACTTGATTCTAGATTTAGATCTAGATCTAGATCTATATCTATCTATATATATATATCTATCTATCTATCTATATATATATCTATCTATATATATATCTATCTATATATATATATATATATATATATATATATATATATATATATATATATGTATATATATATATATATGTGGTAGTTCTTTACTCACCGGAGTTTTCTACTCGACTGCCGTGTAGGACAGTCGTGTCAGGTGGTGTTTTTCGTGTGAGCACTTCGCAAGTCCGTGCGAAGTCATGATCATGTCAGCTGCTGTGTTGTGAGTTAACTGAGTGTTCGGAGAGTCACTACATGGCCCCACCACCAGCGCTGACATGACAGGAGGTTCTAGAACCGGAGAGGTGGTCTCACGATACGTCCTGAACGTGAGACCTTCTAGCCTGCTTGTTGTGGTTCCTGTAGAGTAACAGGAGCGGATTGTACAGCTTGGGTAGACTGGGTTGAATTGTTAGTATTTGCGCTTGGATTCACAAGCGATGAAGACGGAGGTCGCCCACGTCTTGGAGCCTGAGCAACACGTACTGGTTGCGACAGATCCACAAAAGCTGGTTTAAGTCGGTCGACAGAGATGTGTTCCGCGTGACCACCTAGATCGACAAGAAAGGTTGGGAGAGGCTATGAAACAAATCGAAGACCTGTCGACGAAATGCTGGAGGTACAATTGGTCTAGGATGTCCGGTCGAAATGTCACACAGCAGTTCTGGTCCTCCAGATTCGATAGCCATTGAAACTGTGTGCAATCCTGATGAAGAGGCGCTGTCGTCTGGAGAAGAGATGTCAGTGCATTGAGCTTCAGCCATTGCTTTGTAGTCCAGTCCTAATGTGGTCTGAAAAATGGCTCGGGACAAACAGTCTGCAACATGGTTCTCCTTCCCTGAAATGTGCCGTATGTCCGTGGTAAATTCTGAGATGAATGTCAGGTGACGTTGCTGGCGAGCTGACCAGGGTGGGGATAACTTGGACATAGCGTCCACCAGAGGTTTATGATCGGTGAATGCTGTGAAGCACCTACCCTCAAGCAAAAATCGGAAGTGACGGACGGCAAGATAGAGTCCTAATAACTCCCGATCATATGTGCTGTACCGTTGTTCTGGCTCTCGAAGTTGTCTGCTGAAAAATGCTAAAGGTTGCCAGGCCTCATCGACAAATTGTTCGAAGACAGCGCCAACTGCGTGATCTGACGCGTCGGTGGTTAAGGCGATGGGAACGTTTGTTCTGGGATGCGAGAGGAGAGTGCAGTCGGCAAGCATGCGTTTGCTGGCCTGGAAGGCTGTAGTCATCTGTTCCGTCCAGCAAAGTTTTGTTTTCTTCTTTTCTCCCTTCAGAGCTTCGTAGAGAGGGCGTAGTACTGAGGCAGCTCGAGGCAGAAAGCGATGGTAGAAGTTTAGCATTCCCAGAAATTCTTGGAGTGCTTTGTGGGTGGTTGGCAGCGGGAATTCTTCTATAGCTTTGACTTTAGAAGGGAGTGGGGTAGATCCATCTCGTGTGACTCGATGGCCTAGAAATTCGATTTTGGTCACTCCAAACACGCATTTTTCTAACCTAACAACTAGGCCCGCTTCTTCGAGTCTTTTGCAAACTTGCCGTAGATCTTTAATATGTTGAGCTGCTGATGAGCTGACAATGAGTATATCATCCAGATAGATGAATGCGCACGAGATGTCCTGCAGGACGGAGTCCATAAGACGCTGGAATGCCTGGGCGGCGTTTCTAAGGCCGAATGGCATCCGTAGAAATTCGTATAGGCCGAATGGTGTGATGACGGCAGTTTTCGGAATGTCCTCCTGCGCAACTGGGATTTGGTGGTAACCTCGAACGAGGTCGATTTTGGAGAAAATACTTTTGCCAGCGAGTCGTGCTGAGAAGTCTTGAATGTGGGGAATCGGATAACGATCTGGGGTAGTTCTATTGTTGAGTCCACGGTAGTCGCCACAAGGTCGCCAGTCTCCATTACCTTTCGGAACCATGTGAAGAGGTGAAGACCAGGGACTGCTAGATCGTCTAATAATTCCCATTTCCTCCATTTTCAGAAATTCAGCTTTGGCGATGGCTAGTTTGTCGGGGGGTAGTCGACGTGCTTTGGCATGTACGGGTGGACCAGTGGTGGGGATGAAATGGGAAACACAGTGCTTCACTTCGGAGGCCGAAAAGGTTGGCTCGAGGATTTCAGGAAACTCTGTTAATATCTTCCTAAATTTGTTGCTTTCTGGGTCCACTATGGCTATCTGAGAATCTGAAATCTGACCGATAGTACATGGGTATACTTTGAAAGATTGAGCCTCTATCAGTTTCTGACCACGAATGTCTACCAGTAGGTTGTGGCGGCGAAGAAAGTCAGCACCAAGTAGGGCCCGCTTTACATCGGCGATGACAAGCCTGTCGTCGAAAGCATTGTTTTGGAAACGAATGGTGGTGTTGAGCGCTCCATATGTATTGATTTTGCTACCATTTGCGGCTAAAAGTGGAGAGCCTGAAGTGTTCGCCTGTTTGTCCCGCCATGTTGCAGGAAGAAACGAAACTTGGGCTCCCGTATCGATTACGTAACGGCGGCCAGAGACAGAGTCCATGATAATCAATTGAGCTTTTTGTGGGCCAACAGAAGGTTCTGAAGCAAGACTGAATTCTGCTGGCCCACATACTCGTTTCCCTGAACCGCAGATGCTTTTTTGGGGGCTTTGTAACTGCATGGCGGAACGCATTTTTTGGCGTTTGGTCCGAATCTGTGGTGGTAAAAGCATAGACCTGTCGAGTGGCAAGGTCTGGGCTTGCTAGCTGCCGTTGTGCGATCTACTGCCAGTAGTGTCGCGGGTGGAGCAACGGCAAGGAATAACTTGTCGGCATCTTGTGCTAACGTGCGGAAGTCGAGATGGTCGAATGTTGCCAGGGGGGCTCTCACGTATTCAGGCAACTGTTGAAGTAATAAGTGTCTGAAAAGGAAGCACGGTTCGTGCGCTCCCAGTAGGGCTAACATGGAGTCCATTAATTCTGACGGCTTACGGTCTCCTAACCCATGTAGTTTAAAGAGCGCTGATGCTCTTTCCGTATCTGACAAACTATATGCCGACAACAAAAATATTTTCAACGTGCTGTATTTGTTGTCTTCTGGTGGGTTGGTTAATATTGAAAGTGCCCGAGTTGCTGTGCTGTTGTCGAGGGCGGCGACAACATGATAGTACTTAGTTTCGTCTTAAGTAATATTTCGCAAAGCGAATTGCGCTTCAGTTTGGGCGAACCAAGCTTCCGGCCCGGCTGTCCAAAATGTTGGTAGTTTAATAGAAACTGCACTTACTTGACAATCCTGTTCACACATTTTGAAGGGATGGTAAGGGTTGTGACGAAAACGCAAGTCCGCTCAAATATGATTCAAAATATAATCCAAAACAGAACACACAAAGTTGAAATTGCGTTTCAACTTGTCGGGGTCACCAATGTGGTAGTTCTTTACTCACCGGAGTTTTCCACTGGACTGCCGTGTAGGACAGTCGTGTCAGGTGGTGTTTTTCGTGTGAGCACTTCGCAAGTCCGTGCGAAGTCATGATCATGTCAGCTGCTGTGTTGTGAGTTAACTGAGTGTTCGGAGAGTCACTACATATATATATATATATATATATATATATAGATGTATATATATAGATCTATATATATGGCCACCTCTATTCTCACCCGGGATGAGAATAGTGCAGGCGAGTCTTTTGGCTATTCTCACCCGGTGCGCGTTCACCGTTATAGTATAGCCTAGATCTAGGCCAACAAATTTTGCGTTCACCCTAAACCACAGAATTCTACACTGTGATAACAGAAAAATTGTAGAATTCTGTGCCGTGAACAAACGTTCCATTACAACTGTAGCCTACTAAAAGCGTACAATTTTGTCTGTGGGCAGTGGAGAGAGAGAGAAAGAGAGAGAGAGAGGAGTAGCGCGAGAACTTCCGGTCAAAACAAAATGGCGACCCGCGTAGTTCGGCTCGATTCGAAAAGTTAAATAGCCGTAGCATCTTTGTAGACAACCAAATTAATTTACTTTTGTGTTTTAACATCATTTTTAAACTTTGTTTTGGTCAATTTGATCGTCCACACCGATAGACAGTATTCAGAAAGAGACACAGAGAGAGAGAGAGAGGGGAGGAGTAGATCTTGCGAGAACTTCCTGGCAAAACAAAATGGCGACCCGCGTAGTTCGGCTCGATTCGAACAGTGAAATAGCCATAGCATCTTTGAAGACGATCAAATTAGCTTACTTTTGTGCTATAACGTAATTTTTTCTTGGCTTTTATCAATTTGATCATCCACACCGATAGACAGTATTTCAAAATGGGGAAAAGCAGGTCTTGTTTCGCACCGGGTGAGAATAGCCTACGCTGGCAAGTCTCACCCGGGGTGAGAGGTAGATCGTTTTTCTATTCTCACCCCGGATGAGAATAGCCACTTCCTATATATATATATATATATATATATATATATATATATATATATATATATATATATATATATATATATATATATATATGTATATATATATGGCCACCTCTATTCTCACCCGGAGTGAGAATAGTGCAGGCGAGTCTTGTGGCTATTCTCACCCGGTGCGCGTTCACCAAATTTTGCGTTCACCCTAAACCACAGAATTCTACACTGTGATAACAGAAAAATTGTAGAATTCTGTGCCGTGAACAAACGTTCCATTACAACTGTAGCCTACTAAAAGCGTACAATTTTGTCTGTGGGCAGTGGAGAGAGAGAGAGAAAGAGAGAGAGGAGTAGCGCGAGAATTTCCGGGCAAAACAAAATGGCGACCCACGTAGTTCGGCTCGATTCGAAAAGTTAATAGCTGTAGCATCTTTGTAGACAACCAAATTATTTTACTTTTGTGTTTTAACATCATTTTTAAACTTTGTTTTGGTCAATTTGAACGTCCACACCGATAGACAGTATTCAGAAAGAGACAGAGAGAGAGAGAGAGAAGAGGGGAGGAGTTGATCTTGCGAGAACTTCCGGGCGGGTGAGAATAGCCACTTTCTATATATATATAATATATATATATTTATATATATATATATGGAGGGGCCCTAACATTGCGTTGCCGGCTCAACAGTTCCAACCAAGTTGAAGCCGAAGGGGCGGAGTCGGGGCTGCCGCCATCTTTGTAAGCTCAAAACAATGCAGCATATGCAGCGTTATTTATATCTCTTTTCAAATCAAGCTGCTCGGACTCCATTGTCTCTCGGTCTCTCGAAATGTCTTTGTCAATGTTAATTACAGCATATAAGCTCTCACGTACATTATAATGTAATAAGGATGTTAAGAAATCTTACTTGCATCAAATTACCAGCTCACTTAGTCGAATATTTACATACTTAATAAATGTACTATGTATACACATTGAATGATTGTGATGGTAAGATAATTTTTTTTACATGTTTTAGAGACGAAATTGGGATAAAAAGGATTAAAACAAAATTATAAATGGGATAACAAAATTTTATGAATTTTTGGTTGAAGTCGAGCTTCATTATTTTTACAAAAACTAAGACTTCTTGATAGTAATATAATAAGGACGATAAGAAATCTCATTTGCATCAAATTACCAGCTCACTCAGTGGAATATTTAGTAATACATGTACTATGTATACACATTGTGGCAGTAAGATAATTTTTATTACTTGTTATAGAGAGAAGAAATTGGGATAATAAGGATCAAAACAAAAATATAAACGGGATAACAAAATTTGCAGACTTTTCGGTCATAGAACTTCATCAGTGCAAAATGATGTCATCACTGACATTATTTTTTATAAAAACGTAGACTTCTTGACTCAAACATAGAACAAAATATATTTCTAACAAAATCAGGGTTGGGTTGATTTAAATCAGTTGATTTTTTAAATTTAAATCAACTTGATTTTCTAAATAAAAATCAGTGATTTAAATCACTTTTTAAAAAATTTGTTTTTATTCAGTTTTTACACATTTCAACATTCAGAATTCCTTTCCTTGGTTTCATAAAACAGATATAAGGTTTAGTAGACTAATATAATCATGCTTAAAAGTCTGCTTTCCCCCCCCTTTCACTGTAAAATAATACAGTATTCAATTTACTTTTTTTTTCCATAATTGAAATCAGAGGTTCTTCGTTCTGACACGTCAGGCAACTTTGATATAAGGCCACCTCTATTCTCACCCGGGGTGAGAATAGTGCAGGCGAGTCTTTTGGCTATTCTCACCCGGTGCGCATTCACCGTTATAGCCTAGTTCTAGGCCAACAAATTTTGCTTTCACCCTAAACCACAGAATTCTACACTGTGATAACAGAAAAATTGTAGAATTCTGTGCCGTGAACAAACGTTCCATTACAACTGTAGCCTACTAAAAGCGTACAACCCAGGGTGAGAGGTCGATCGTATTTCTATTCTCACCCCAGGTGAGAATAGCCACTTCCTTGATATAAATGATGGAGAAACAGCTGTCAACAACCTCTGAAGCGAATCGAAGACACAAAAGAACATGTTAGTAAAACTCAGGACTTGTGCACTTAGACTTGGAGAACTACATACTTATCAGCTCTTACTCTCAGTAAGTAATAAAAATGGAAAAAAATAATGTCTAATAATTGGAGTCTTTAAGTCTTAAAACTTCACTAATGCAGAATTTTCACTTAACTTTTAACTGACTGATCAAAGGACAGAAAATGCACATTGTTATTGTAAGACCATTTTAACATGTTCACACACACAGCACACACACACACTCTCTTTCCAGATACCTGTAGATATTTTGCACCGTCTTATATAAATTATAAGTTATGTGATAACTTTATATAGATGGCACCTTTAAATTCATGTGGAGCCTACCTTACTTTTTGTGTCTCAACAACAGATTCTCTCTCCTAAAAAAGATTTGATCAACTTGTCTAATTTAATGTCCTTTGAAATTCATTGTGATTTTATCTGCTTTCTATAAAAGCAATCATCTCACGACCATTTTGTTGTAAATTCTTCTTTCAGAGGAATTGTAAACGCACTGAGAAATTGAAGTGAGTTTTTCTTCCGGTACCACTCCTTCTTACAGCAATGGCAGGGTCCATGTTTGTTGACAAAGATGTGGTGAGTATGACTTTGTATGATTGAAAACAAATAGACTTTTGGCCCAGTATTTTAAAACATTATTTTTTTTTGTAGAAGTTTTACGGCGCTCGCAACTGCATTTTATAAGGTCATACGAGTGCAGTAGAATAAGATTTGCTTCTCAAATAGTGTAAAATGAACATGACAGTATCATTATAATATATAGCCTTGTGTGTGGGAGAACAGGCAGGTGCCGAGAGGCCTAAATTGGTGAAAAAAGTTTCTGTCTCATCTGGCTGCTCATCTTCCTTTTTGTCACAACTAACCCCCAATAACACTTGTCAAAATGTGCAAGTTGCTGTAGGTCCCAACAGTCTACAAGCGTTTACATTTATTTTGTGTCATCACTTACGAATGACCGTGATGTTTTCCTTTGGAGCACATTAAATAAAGGAATTCAAGATTTGAAAGTAGGTGAATATAGCACTTGAGCAATCTTCTTCCTCTTTGTCTCCCGCTCAGACAAAGTTGCATCATGTGTACTGAGATCCACTGGAACCAGCAGCATATATCACTGAGAAAACCCATAAAGGCAAAATTACTGCATGTAGAATTAATCTAAGTCTCTCAGCAAATCGCTAAACATCACTATTTATAAAAGAGATGTGCACAGAAATGAAGATGTAAGAGCAACTGTTGGGACAAAGTCGTGCCTGCAGTTCATATAAATAAACAAAGAATAAAAATGGTTTGTCCACCTTCTACGAATGTCACGTAGTCAGCTAGCTTCGAGAGCCCTTAACACCAGACTCAGGCTATAAAGGAAGAGGTTGGCCACACAAAAGATGAATAGAGGGAGTCAAGGAAACCCTCAGAAACTACAATTCAATTGAAAGAACTGCTTAGTTGGCCTACCATAGAAAACTGCTTCTCCCTAGATGCTTAACAGCAACAGAGGCTGAAAAAGTGATAGAGGTAAAACTCCTTTTTGGAGAAGTCTATGTTTTTGAGGTCTTGAGGCCAAAAGATTTTATAAGTTTGTCATTGTTTTTTAAATTTGGTTATTGTGTCCGGATGGATTCCAGATGTGCTTAAAAAATGCAGTCATGTGCTGGGTTTTCTGGGAGTTGGACTAATTTTGATTGCGTACTGTAATGAAAATTGTGTTCATCTGATGTTAGTGATGGTATGTTTGCCTCAGCCTGGAGGCTCTCCAGTGGAGAAGTGGGGAAAACCCTCAGGGCGAGGTGGGAGAGAGAATCGTAAAAGTAGAAAAGGTGTTTGGAGTCCCCACCCCACTCCGAATAAGACAGAACTTTTAGAGCATTTAAGGCTTTCTGGCACCTCACTCGAAGGTCTTTTATGTGTGGAATGAAAGTTAGTTTTTGCTCATTATTCTGAGGAAACAAGCCTGGTCATGGACAGGAATCCTTTCTCTGTATAATGTCAAATTCGGTTGCGGCACACGTCTGCTGGATTGGCAGAAGTGTACTGCAACCGTCTTCGATGGGGAAAACTTGAAACCATTTTCGTTTGCCCACTTTTCAAGTTTGTACAGCTACATTTCCATAGATCTTAGTTGAGGAATTTTTGATCGGCAGCATATCAGAAAGTGATCAATGCATAATGAGCGGTCTATGTTGTTTTGGAGGGCCCGAACTATGGAATTGATTTTGATTTCGAAGGGGAGGGGAGGAATGATGCACCTTCCTGTTGTTGGTGGGGATCTGAAAGGGCAGATCTGATACGAACCTGGAAGCAATGGTTCTTAAGAAAATTGCCAATGTTAATAGCCCTAACTCTTGATGGGTTTGTTTAGAGTATTTGGACTTTCGGACATTCAAAGATGCTGTTTGAAGAGGTAGTTAGACTGTTAGAGTGTTTAGAACTTTACCTTGGCAGCTTTCATACCCATTTGGCTTCCTAGTGGTGTTCTGGAATTAACAACATACACCGCTCTCTAATGGGTTCTCAATTTCATTAATTTTTTAAGGTGAAAAGGTTCTCAATGGAAAAAAATAATGTCTAATAATTGAAGTCTTTAAGTCTTAAAACTTCACTGTATAATGCAGAATTTTCATTTAACTTTTAACTGACTGATCAAAGGACAGAAAATGCACATTGTTATTGTAAGACCATTTTAACATGTTCACACACACTGGACCCCCCCCCCCCCCATTCACACACACACAGCACACACACACACTTTTTAAATAACTGTCCTTTGATCAGTCAGATAAAAGTTAAGTGAAAATTCTGCATTATACAGTGAAGTTTTAAGACTTAAAGACTCCAATCTGGTTTCAGTTTGTATCAAATGTTGTAGTAAAGCACTTTCTTTGTATTACAATCTTCTGGTCAGTGAATGTCAAGACACGTTGTTTAATTTTATTAGATGATAAACTCATATTTTTTTGGGTAATTCTAACAGACTCGCATCAGCACGGCTATATTCAACAATGATATGGATGAGCTGAAAAAAGCTCTTGCAGATGGGGAAGATCCGTTCTACACCGATCGTGTAAGATCCATATATTTCTTTTAGTAGCCTTAAATATGAAACTGATATTTTGCAAACTAAAAAGTTTTTCTTGATGAAATTGTTTAGCCAATTGAAATTGTGTTTTGAAAAAATGTTTGATATTTAAAAAGGCCCAGATCAGTCACTTTTTTCTATGTCTTTAGTTCGAATCAGGTTCACTTTATATTTAAATCAGTTCTGTTCACCTCAAGGTCTCTCTTTGCAAATTTAGATAATAAGCTTGTATGTTTTCCGATTTTTTTTGTTCCTATCAAAGAATACATGAATGAATAAACATAGGCTTCCCCATTTTAGAAAAAAAACATGTTTAAGGCAATTTCTTTTCAGAAGACTTTATTTATGTTTAACTACCACTTGAAACTTTTATTTCTTTCTAGGCCTATTTGATGAGTCCATTTTTAAAGCAGAGAGGACCACTGCTCAATTAGTTTGGTGTTAATGAACGTGATCCAGACTATCTTAACATGCATTCTGTGACTTTTCTTTGAAAACAATTATTAAGAACTGTATTATAATAAAGTATGAGAAAAGCGTCTCAGTTTTTCTTCAGTAGCCCCTTTTCTCCACATGTAGCTACCAAGTATCTTAGAGTTTTATATATACATAGAACCACAAACAAACAAAAGCAAAAGATTGGAATTAGTTGATCAGTGGCCATTCAGTAAAAAATTGCTTTCTTATGATTCCAACTTCATATCTTTGTCTTTGCCTATTAAGTTTTGTCTTTGTTGTGTGAGCAGCTGTATATCCTTTTCTAAACTGTTGCAATATAGCTGTTTTGTTTTTCATAGCTGCCCTGAACTTTCTTAGATTAGCACTTAGGTGTATCTTTTGAAACTCTTGATTTCCGAAACTCAATTTTATTATCAGATCCTGAATGGGTAGAAGTAAGTTACTGAAAGCAACTATTATGAATTCATGATATGTCTACAATATCTTGACTTTGGAGCTCTCACATTGGCTGTGATTTATAATTGTGACTTAAGCATTAATGCTTATGTTGCAGAAACTGAGTATTCTGTTTTTTAAATTTCTAAATAGCCTACATACATTCAGTATGATGATGACATATTAACAAAGCTGAACTTGCACCTTAGTTTACTTGCAGTTTACTTTTTTGTTTTCTGTAAATGTTTGTATTTAAGGATATGCTGTAACTAAGAATAAAAATGGAAATTTTTGAGACCTCTGAAATAAAATTACGCTTCCTTGAATAGAATAGCATTTTGCTCTTAAAAAATTGAGTTCCTGCGTCCTTAGTTCGTAGCAAGAATAAGACATGGAAAAAGACTTTGTTCTCACTTTTCATAGTCAAAGATCTGATGGGTCTATAAGATGTTCTTATTTTTCTAAAATACAACTTTCTAACTCTCCTATTTGGTTTTAGTGCACGACTGAAATTGAACTGAATGATGTGAGACTGTGGATTTTTAAAATTTATTTTGCTTCCAAGTTTTTTGGTTTTATTCATTTATTTTTTTTCTCCAGAAACACAACACTTATCTACACTATGTGTGCACAATGCATCGACCTTTCATCATTCATATCATTGTCGGAACTGGCATCAATCTGAATGCTCAGAACAGGGTATGTGCAGTGTTCCTATGATGTAGGCCTGTAGATTGTTTTGATGTAATGTTGACTTATAGTATACCGACTTGAACACCTAAGCACCAGCTGTTTCATTTTTGCTTTTGATCCCTTACTATCAACAGCACAGTTTCCCCTGAAACAAATTTTTGACAAAGTGTGTTTCTTCAACTTCTACCCTTTGAGTCTTTGAGCCCTACTGCATTATCTGTACTGAGTTCCTTTTGATTGAGGGTTAGGTTTACACCACCATACGCTGAGCAAGCATGCATTTGGAGCTGAGAATAGCACAGATAGTGCATGCAAGTGTGTGCTTGGGTCAGCAGGGTTTAAGTTTTTGATATGGTGTCTGTAGTCTAGTGGTTATGCTTCTGGAATTGTATTCATGAGGTTGTGGGTTCTAGGGTTCGAACCTCAGGCCCAACATTGTGCCCTTGGGACTACCAGAATCTTTCTCACTTCACCCAGGTGGGAATGGGTATCCAGAAATAGATAACAAAAGATATTTTCGGTGTGTTAGTGTTTTAGTGCCTATAAAAATGGCAGCCTGGACTGTATGCTTCCTATGAAGTTCGATTGTTTCAGAATGCTGTCAGGTCTACGGGGGTAATAATATAGAGATTGTAAAATGTGTAGAATTTTCTGTTTAGCGGGAATTTGCGCTATACAAATGCTATCTATTATTATGGTCTGTCACCAGCTATTATTATGTTATTTATGAAGTTTTCATGTTCTTCCTGATGTATCATTATATTATAGCAGCTTGTATTTCATCCCATTGCTCAATTATGTTCAAAGTATTTGATCATAATTGTCTCATATGATTTCTTTTCAAGCATGGCAACACAGCCCTACATGTAACAGCCCTACAGCATGAATGCTGCCATGTTGGGGACCTGATGGCTGCTGGTGTAAACCCTTTCATTAAGAATCGGGTACTGTATACACAACTGTTTATATATATATTTTTAGTGCTAGAAGGCTCATTTTGGTAGCGACAGGTTATTTAGTGTCTGCCTTCTTAACTCTTTATCTCCGGTAAGTCGCTCCTAGCGTCTCATGGTCGGAACCACTGTCCTGTTGAGCGGCTGATCGGGCGCATTCCTTTACAACGACTTTGACATCAAATTACTCTTTGGCAATTGGGGGAAAACAGGTCTCTTTTATCGGGATTTCATTCGTTAGATGAAGAGCTGTCGAAATAGGTTCATTTGTTTTGATCTATTGAGCAATTTAGTGACCATTTTGTCATTTCTAGAATTAGTACCAAAAAAGGGCCTGGGCATAGTGGGTTTATTCCCCTCGGGGATAAAGGAATTAATTATCTTGATTGTGCCAAAGAGAACATCAGACATCGCCGATTGTGGTTATTCCGGCTGATGCATACCAGATAATGAAGGTGTCAGTGAGTGTTAGATAATGATTGACATTCTGCTCACTGTTATGTCATATATATCACAGCGTGGGGGGGGGGGGGGGGGGGGGGGGGTGTCAGGTGCTCTTCAAATTTCCCCATGTTGCCTCACATATTGTGTCTTTGTAGGTGCTGTGTATTATTCTTTATTTAAACTTAGTTTTTGTTTACCCAAGTTGTAAAATGCAATAGATACCACAGTATAACAAACTACAATATTAGTTAAGCCATTCACTGAGACATTGTGGTGAAAAAAGGCACTTGTCAAAGTAATGAAATAAAAGAAACAGGCAGTTTACTTGCCAACTTTGGCAATTTTTTCAGAATTTTCTTTTTTTTTGTTCAATACCTTTTACCTCCATTTAAAAACACATTTCTGTGTAGATTTGGTCGAAAAATGTTAATCAAAGGAATAAAACGTGTAAATTTGCAGTTTTCAAGGATACTCAAGCTTTGGAAATCGCCAAACTTTGGTGGCCATGCATTTTCTAGCTAATTTTACTTCTGGCACTAAGGGATCCTCACCTCCTTCAATCATTAAATATGTCAAAGATGGGTATTGTTTCATGAAATGCAAGACAAATGAGCAAGCCTCAGGATAACACCAATTACTCCAGATACCCAAAAATTGACGAGCACCTGATTCCATTAATTCGTGACACATTTCATTGTGTTCTGAATAAATGTTTGTCAATAAGAAAGCCCCAGGTCCCTCTTTTTAAACAAAATTAAAGATATCTTTCAAATCATGCATTTTTAGTAGAAAACTTGTTTTTCCATATGTAGAAATTGATGTTAATGAAAGTTCTCATGCAAACACACCCAGGGGGCTCTCTTGGTCTAGAGGTATGGTGTTTTCCTCTCATTCATTAGGTCCCAGATTCAAATCCTGACATGGACTGAAAATATTCTTCTCTTAAATTTTCTCCTTTCATCCTTTCCTGCTCTCTAACCAAGTTCTGTCGTCTGCTTTCATCTCCATTTTCTGTCTTTTTCCATCCCATCCCCCTTTGCCCCCTCCTCTGGGCTCCCTAGTCTTTCTGTTGAATTTCTACTGCTACTCCTTGGTTCCTTTTTACTGCTGTCTTTCAGCCACACCCCTGATCTTAGGGTAGGTAAAAATGTAACACCTATCCTTCTCAGATCTCGGAGGTCCTGTATCCAAATTGCGCCTGTTAATGATCCCTTGGTGGTGCTAAAATCGATATGAGTAGACTTCGGCCGCCACCTGGTCAAAAATCAAAATTAATTCCTACCAAACTGAACACACTTCATGTGTCAGGCGTGCCCATATTTCCTTATGCAGTTGCAAGCGCCGTAAAACCTTTTCTAAAAAAAACTAAAAACCACACACCCAGAAGAAGAAGGAGAATGATTCTTGCCGTTTTTGCTTTCAGACTATACTTCATGTTCATGTGTCATGCTGAAATCATGGGTTCATCAATCTTTTTGGCATATGGATTTGAGTTATTGACATAATCTTAACTCTTTGAAGGCGACCCACTTTCCCTTTCTCGATACCCTGAGACGGACTGTCTTTGCCCTTTTTTACCAGGTCACCATTTTTTTCATATCAACATTACAAAAAAATCACACTTACGCCACTAAAAAGTACAATGTCTCTATATTTTTCCCTAATACCAATCAATCATACATTCATAATACCAGTCTTACCTTGATCAAGGCTGCAATATCACTATAGTTGCCCTCAAAAGAATTTTTTTTTGGACAAGATGAGACTTAGGGGTCTTGTAGATCTACCATTACTAACAAATGGTACAGATTCATCATCACTATCATATGAACTTTCTTCTTCTAACTCTAAATCTAACTACTCATCACTGCCATCATCAATAAGCAACTCTAATGCTTCTTCAGTCCGCATAAAACCGCATCGCCTGGAGCTCGCCATTTTGAATAGAAACAGTGCATGCGAAACAATGGGGCTAAAACAAACGCCATGCAATGCGATCCTAATTTGAACGCAAATAAAAGAAATCAACCAAATTATAGGGCTTTGGACGAGCTTTCCATTGAAATAGAGGTTGTCCACCTTCGACCCCTAGTTTACCAAATAAACACGTTTAAAAGCGGATTATCCGCTGACATGGCGACAATGGTCAGAAGATTATTTGCTGACGCGTCTTCAAAGAGTTAAAGCTTGCTTATTGTCTTGCTTTTGATTGAAAAGAAATATCCATCTATCAAGAATAGAAGTTGATTATTTGTGATTGAAGAAGGTTGAGGTTGCGTGTTGTCGGAAGTAAAATGGCTGTCCAAGTTTGGTGTGTCCTTAATGGAAACTGCAAATGTACTTTTTTGTGCTTTTGATCAACTTTTTTTCGATAATTCCACGCAAAAATGTGTTTTTAAATGGATGTAAAACGCCTTGAGCCTTCCCTCCCCCCAAAAAACAAACAAACAAACCAAAAACCCCACTTTTTTTTTATTTTAAAAAAAAATCTTACTCGACGAGCGGAAAAATGTTGGTTTTTTCGATTTTACTATTTTGAAGAGCACCTGATTTCACTGTGATGGCACATACAATATGGAAAACTAGATTTAGGTTTGTCAGTGTTGAACCATACAGGGATGCCTATTTTTATTAATGTTTACCATTTCCTTTACCAGGATGGCAGAACAGCTTCTGAGATTCCCACAAAAAACAGATTTTGGAAGTTCATTTATGAAAAATACCAGGTATGTAACTGAAGCGTCTTTGTGTTAGCATTTGTGTCATCATAGTTTCCCTTTTCATATTTTAAAACATTTTTTTGAAAATTTTGGCAAACAAAGATTCAAGAGATTCAGTTTGACTCATTATGTATGCTAATGGTGAAAAAATGCCTCTTAATTCACATTTTACCCTGACTCTATGCAAATACCAATAATCTTTCGAACATAACCACGATGACACATAATGGATAAATATTTGTTGTAATTTTGGAAAATATCATCAAATTTTCCCCTCTCGTTGACATCTAACCAAGCACGCATGGTTGCATCTAGATCTACCACTACTTGACCTTTGGAATGCAGTGCGATGTTTATCATTACTTGGTTTAAATTTAATTAAATGGGGGAAAACATTTTTCGGACATAACAGCTTTTTTCGAACATAACATGTTAAGAGAATGTGTGAGAATGAGAGAGAGATAGAGAGACAAAAGAGAGAGAGAGAGATAGAGAGGGAGAAAGAAAGAGAGAGAGAGAACGGAAATGTTTTTCTGTCTGAATAGAATTAATGTTTTAATGAATGTTTCTAGTTACTCACGTTTCAACTTTATTGTGACCGTTCGTGAATTTTTATTGCATTGTATGTTTTTAGTGAACACATTTTCAACCTCACTGCGAGACTGTTTTTCTCATATAAAATTTGACGCATATATGCATTTATATTATATGTATAATACTTTGTTTTACGTACACACTTGTCGATTAATTTTTAAGATGTGATGTCTTTTTCGTTGTAATGCGCCTGACTGCTGTATATCTGCTCCCATGCTGAAACATCATATTAAACACTAGACATGCAAATGTCCAGAGGATTTTATAAGGTATTTGAAGAAACCTCCACCTATTGATCCCAAAAAACTGTACAACTTTTTTTGTTAATATTTTCCTCCACACTGTAGTTTTTTGCTTCAAATTTGTTCACAACATTTGGAAGTCAAAAGGAATTTGTCTGATATTTATTTTAGATAAATCCACCAAATAGCTTTGCTTTATATAGCACGTAAAAAACCCACCCATTTTCAGCTATGTCCCCATTTTTGTAGCATGGCGCACTAGTTTGCTTAAGGCCTACCACTAAAAATCCCAACGATTGCACCAAATTGCAAACTACAGCAGTCTAACCGGCCAACAGAAGTTTGCAGATAGTTTTTCTCAAGTTTGTTTTGCCAGCTGAGATCATGGTTAAGATTAGTAAAGAGCAGAGAACTTTTTGTATTGAATATTTCCTCACCACCAACTCATTTTCAAAAGTTTCGCTTAAGGTACGGAAATAATGTTAAAGTTTCCTTAAGGACTTTTCTGATGTCAAGGGTGGAAATGGTCCTTCAGTTATGACCTGTAGAGAATCAGAACAAAAGAATTACTGGACAAAACGACCACTTCAGGTCATACACACACCGTTTTCACTCCTTTAAACGTCGCCAGGGTGCAGAATTCAGTAGATGAGCCCTATGAGACGCCTGTCAGTAGAAGATGCCTACAGCAATGATTTTCTTACATCTCAACGTCCCGCATTCTCAAGGCACATCTTCATCTGTACCATTTTCCCGTTCGCAAAGCTATCAGAGGATAGCAATGTGTTCATGATTCCTCGATCGTTTGAAAAGCGTGAACATTTCTTCTACTTCTATGACATTTGGTTCCTTGGCGGAGCCCATATTCACCTTTCAGGTTATATCAACTCCACAAATGCTGTCTACTTGGGCACCCCCCCCCCCCATTGTCTCTAGAAACAGCTCCATACTGTAAGGTCTACAGTGTGTGTGGCTTTGAGTACTCATGGTTGAGTGGATCCTTGTCTTTGGCCACCACTGAACATTAGGAACGACGCGATACAATGTGTCGAGTCCAAAGGAGGACATTTTGACCATTGGTTCTCAGAGTTCCAGTTCCTGAATTTAAACAAATATTATTTTAAATCTGTAGGAGAAAAGAACTATTGTTTACAAGTTACAGGGATGGATTTTTTAAATAAAAGAAAAGGAAAAAAACCAAACCAATCATTACATGATTTTCCTTACAAGATCTTATTGGCGCATTGTGCATTTATAGGTAGTTTTTATAAAAGCCATTTCCGCTTTCGAAAATAAGTTTATTCTTTGTGAATTTTATGTCAAACTAATTCCTTTTGAACGAATTATATCTATTCCTAATTACAACATTCTAGTAAAAAAATTTTGCCAGATATTTTGAAAAAAAAGTTGTAGTTTTTTTTTTATCACCCTGTATATAATAAAATTGTGTCTCATGTAAGCCTGTTCTTGTTTTGTGAATTTTGCTTTGCAGCCAGGAATATTTGAGGCTATAGCTGCCCATGATGTTGACAAAGTTCTTAACCTGTTGCATTGCTGGACACGGGTGGACACTTTAAGGGTGAGATTTGTGCAATCGATACCACTCTTGATAAAAGAAATCCTGTGATTTACTTTTCCAAAAGAAATTTGTTTGTAAAACGCATGTGTAAATTCTAGTGCTGATTTCTATGGATGATTCTCAGACTTTTCCTAGTGCTTTTGAAAGGAACATGAACTAAAAGTTGAATTTCGAGGATTGGTCTTTATATTTTGTTCTTAAAATTTACTTTATTCCAACTCATTCGCTACGTATTATTTTCGGCTTGTGGATGGATTTTTTCCGGAGGGCAAATGAGGTGATGACTAGTGGGCAGTTAAAAGGTCTTTGGGGCCACAAATTCAAATAAATATCAATGTATTATATACCAATATTTTCAGTATGGTTTGTAGAATACATCTGTAATGTTTATTTATGTATTTTTCAACTTTGGTTCCTGTAAGAGGCGATTATGCAACACAATTTTGATTGGATGCGGATAAAATTTGAAAATAAAAAATTAATAATCTTTGGTGAAACTCAAAAAATACGTTTGCACCTAGTCAAATGATACATCAAAATAACCATAAATGAATATAGAACTGGAAAATATTGAAAAGTTTGCAGTTATTTACATACATTCCATAATATTTGTACATTTGGATCATAACATCCGATATTGAAAAAAAAAAAAAATGTTATTTATAATCTTGAAAAATGATCACAAACAGAAAAAAACTTACTCGTATCTTATATGGAATTATTCAGAATTGCATTTGGAATAAACCTATACATGTCTTGAGTGGCACTTTTTGTGTAATTTCATAAAAAAGTAGTGATTTTGGGGAGAAAAAATATTTTGACAATTTAGATCTAGACCTAGATCTAGCACTCAAAAATATTGATTTCTCAATAACGGCTAGTGCATTGGCAATATGAGTCCAGTCGTATCAATATTATAAAAAAGAGTCCTACATTTCTTTAGTGGGCAAAATAATGATAGATTTTGTTTAAATTACTAAGACTGGTGTCCGGGCTATAACCGCGCCGCCCCCCACGGCTCGGTGTAGCGAATGAGTTAATATATAGGCCTACTTGTCAAAATAGTGAATCTGAAAAAAAACTCTGCATTTTTCTGGCCGTTGAGCAATTGTTTTCAAATTGTCTTTTTTTTGGCTCATCACCTTTTATGTCCTTTTAAAAACAACTTTCACATGTGGATTTTACTGAAAAGGTTTGATCAAAGGCACACAATTTTAATTTGCAGTTTCCTAAGACTGGTACATTTTGGAATTCACCTTACTTTGGTGGCCACTCTCTCGCTTATTTTTTCTCTTACATCAGGCGACTACCACCACCTTCAATGGCAAATATCTCGACTTTTATTCAAGATAGATGGGTATTTTTTTCACTAATAGCAAGACAAACGAATACATTAAGATGAAACTGTTTGTTCTATATGCATAAATATTGATGAGCGCCTGATTCTATCATGTCAAGACACATATGTTTAAATTTGTGATTGATTTACAAAGGTTTTATCACAGAGTCAGTTTTCATGACATATATAGAGAAAAGAGAAGGAATGAGAATAACAGAGAACAAGAGAGAGATAAAAATGGGTTTCTCAACTTTATCATGTAAAATAAAAATGTGAGGCAGCGTGTTGAAATCAGGCTCTCGTCAAAATATTGAAAGTAAAGAAACTGGCACTTTTTCGCTGATTTGGCAATTTTTATTGAAATTTTTTTTTGGTGTCTATTTTAGAAGCCCTTTCAGTGTGAACTATTTTGAAAAACGTTGATTAAAGGCACAAAAAATGTAAATTGTCACTCTCCGCAGACTCTAAGGCTTTGTAAATGAGCAAACTTTGGGGGCCATTTCTCACTAATTTTACATCTGAAACCAGGCGAACCCCATCTCATTCAATTGTAAATATCTCGAAATGTACTCAAGATAAACAGGTAACTCTTTCATCGGAAGCAAGGTAAATGAACAAGCTTTAAGGCAATGCCAATAACTCCACATGCACAAAAAATGGATGAGCGCCTTATTCCACCCCGTTGTGACACAAATGGTAAATAGGAGAGTAAACTACTGTCGTTTCTTAAAACATTATCTTAGGTCTGGAGTAGGAATTGCCGACTCGTAAAATATTTTGCTCTTTTAAAAAAGTTTTGTATACTGTCGTGGCTGTTATGATTGATAAAATCAAGTGACCATTGGTTTCTTTAATTTTGGGAACAGGATGGGAAAACTCTTCGACAGTTTGCGGCCTGTCGCAAGTTTCATGACATCGTGTTTCATGTGGATTTTCACAGACACACTCTCGTAAGTATAATAATGAATTCTGAAGACTCATTGCTGTCTGCTTCATATTAGTGGACTCACTTGAATTTTTTGTGTGTTATTTACCATCTTCCAGAATCCTGTCATCCATCTAGGTGTACTTCCATCTCAGTTCAGTGTAAGGTCGTAACTGGGTAAAAGTCCATCTTTTTAAACTGGTGTTTCAAGTCAGACTTCTGAATACAAATGGAAATAGAGAAACAGTGGTGCTGATTAGAGAATATTATTTTAAAGATCTATTTGTCTTGGCAGCCTGTCAAAGTGTAAAAATGTTATGGTCATTAATACTTCATTATTATATATATATAAATGGATTTCAACAATGTAAAAAGGGGACTTTGTCTCAAGGTTTTCAAACTTGAATGAACTAGTACTTTGTTTATGTGTATAAAATTTGCAATATATAGTGTTTCTTTGTTAAGAAGTGTCCAAATTTTTAAAGTTTAGAATTTACATAGGAAGCTCAGATTGTTGTTTTACACTGTAATGAAAGAATTGGAAGTTTACAGTGTGAGTTGAACCGAGCTAACATTATTACTGATGTGTTTTGTAAACTTGTTGCACAATATTAAAACAAAAGAATGCATACTTTTCTCAACATATTCTTTGTGTATTTGAAAGATCTGCAGCCTCCTTTATTAAAAGTTTTTTTCTTTTTCATATCATAAAAAATTTTTAGGGGGCTATCTATGCTGTGCTGGAGCGAGATGCTGAAAAAGCATGGACATTTTTGACGCATGCGAAATGTGATGTAAACTATGTCAATTACGTAAGTATTTTGTTTTCTTGGTTCTCTTGTAAGTGGAAAAAGTGCCTGAGAGCCATTTGCATGTTTTCAAACATTCCAGATTGTTTAAAACTTACAAATATTCAGAAGATATAGATGTGTTTGAGCACCATATTTGACAGGAAAAATTTCCTAAATGTTAGTGGCCAATTTTTCTTTACAAGCCATAGAAAAATTTGGAAATTATTTACTGCGTTCCAGCAGACTGAAGATGAAAAAGCCGCTGGTCACTCTGCTTGCTCTCAAACCTCATGTGAGGTTTCATACTACTTGTGCAAAGTCATGAGTAGCAATTTGACTCATTGTCTGTTTGGAAAGGAAAACATGCAATGTTTGAAGGAGAAAGTATGGAGGTTTTGAGAATGTAAGGTGTATGTTTATTGATGAGATATTTACAATGTTAACAAAATCTCTTTTTTATTCATGTGCATCACTCGGTTTATTGTACAGGGTGCTGATTCATGCCACATTCTGCAGTATGCCATCAAACTGAAAGATGTTCGTTTGGTTCGGATGATTTGCAAGTCAAAGGTCAATGTCAACTTACGGGTAACCTTACAGAACTATATCAAGGTACATTGCATTTTTTTCCTTTGCGTTTTCTGAGATTTTCTCACAATGTTCGAAATTATCAACACTGAACCATCCCCCGGGGCCGGTGCTACTGACTGAAGTGTCCTTAGGCCATTCCCATAGGGGGGACATTAACCTGTTCTCATGCAAAGTAGAATTGTAAATGGGCTGATTCATCAATGTCATGCTCATAACTGTGCCTGAACTGCAATAGGGAACTGCTGCTTTTTCTTTCCTAATCTTTACTATCATCATTTTTCAAGGGAACTGCTGCTTTTTCTTTCCTAATCTTTACTATCATCATTTTTCCTCTATTTCTTTTGTATGTTTTTCACCCTCTTGTGACCTTCTGTTTCCAGGGTGCCTTGATAGTCGAAGAAGACTTCGTACTGTTGAAACTATTGCTCTTATGACCGTATGCAGTTGTGTGCGCCGTAAAAACTCTACTAAAACTAGAACTAAACAACACTGAACAGATATAATATGTTGATGAAATGTATACATACTGTTTAAAGCATCTCTTGAGCTTTGTGTATGTCCTGTTTCATCTTATAGAATATGCTGCAAGTGGCTACTTTTTTGTTGTCACTTGTATTCAGTTTGCTGCATTCAACAGGTTGTTAAAAGTACTGGAGTGTTGCTTCATGCATGGGCAGGAAGTGTGTATAATGCAAAAGGGCTTTATGTATCCATTGGCCAGCTCATGGATGTGTCATGTGCAGGACAGGGGTTAGGTCTGAGCTACCTATTTTGGAACGATAAGTAACTGTTGTCCATTTTACTGATCTTCCCATCATGTGCATAATTTTTAGCTGTAGCTACTTTTATTTGTGTGTACCATAAATGAGAAAAATAAGAATCAGCATTGTTATCATAAGACTAATATTTTTTCCTTTACATTCAGGCTCCTCTGTATTTTGCTGTGCTTGATCCCAATGTCTCGGATGACATCATGTGGACAGTTCTCAAGGCTGGTGCCAACTTTACTTTAAAAGACGAGGTATGTTTTATTGTCTCCGCCTGAGATAATGTACTTGGGAGCAAGGAAAATGCAGGATCTTAGCTGATGCACTAATCCACAGTGACTTATGTTCAGGCCTACAATTGGTGGAATGTCTCCCGGTCTCCCTTTACTCTGAAGTGTACTTGACGTGACCCCTTGGTGGGTTTATGACTTATGATGAGCAAAGAGTGGTCAACCTTGATGACCTGTCACAATGGCATGAGGCATGCCATTTTCACTGATCCTGTCGTGAGTCTCAAGATCCTCGCTGATCCTATTGTTTCATCTCTTTACTTGTCCAAAATTTATAGCTTTCCAAATCTGACCAAGTTTCCCCACTTCTGTGGTAACGCACCAATGTTTTTTGTGACCATAGCCATTAAAATTCAGTTTGTCCAGAAAATTTGCATGTAGAGATAACTTCTGCAATGGTCAGGGAAACAAAAGCACAGAAGAGCTCTCAGTTTGATGAGATCCTGTCTGATGTGGATGTATAGGCTTTATCTACCATGCTTGTGTTTTAGGTTCAGGTGGAGAGCTCAGATGTTGTGAGTGTAATGTTTTGGGAAAACGAACACCTCAACGAGTTCACACCATGGTGGGATCCTGTCTGGGGCAAACGTTGTACTGTACTGCTGTTTCACTCGAGATCACTTAGTTACTGCATGTTAAAGATCCCTATGTGGTCCTAAAGTCGATAATAGTAGGTTTCAGCCCTCACCCAGGCAAAATTCATAATTGCTACTAAAACTGATACTGGAAAATACTTTAGTCAATATAAAAACATGTAGAGTACCTTTGAAATTAGAATGTGGCTGCCTGTATTTAAACATTAACCCTACTAAGTAGGAAAATTGGTCACCTATGTAAAAATCAGTAGCACTGCAGGTTGAAGAACCAGTAGCTGACTAGGCCTTCTCATGAGATCTTTACTTCTATGATGACTACTTTTTCCTGTGTCCCACTTTTGTGTCAAGTATTATGTTGTAGGAGTAGCGCTTAAATAAAGCTAAGACCTACCTCTTGAGTTGTCGTGAGTTGAACTGCTCGCCTCTCGGTCTTGATTTTTACTCACTGTGTCCTTGTCCTTGTGAGGTCAATGCGATCGTACTCGTAGTGTTTCGCATAACCCCACACAACCCCCCACCAGTATTGTCCTCATATAAACCTCCTAGGTGGACGAAGTTGACGTCCGGACCTGGAGCTCTTGGAAGCCGTAAGATGAGGCTGCTGAGATGAAGAAGGTGGAGGTGGAGGAGCAGGATTGTTTGTTGTGATAGTTCTGGGCCGTCCACGTTTCGGTGGGTGAGCGATAAGGACTGGTTGCGACGTTTCTACGTGGGCCGGTTTCAGGCGATCAATCGAAATCGTTTCTGTCCTATTTCCCATGAGTATGTGGAAAGTCTTGCTGTTCCGAGCGGTTACGAAGTATGGTCCAGTGTATGGATGTTGTAAGGGATGTTGAGAGGCGTCGCATCTGACAAAGTCATACTTTGCTGTTGTCAAAGTGCTTGGCTCCTTGTTTGGAGGCTGGCAGTGTCGTGAAGTTGGAGTGGGTAGGAATGATTGGGCCTGGCCGCGAAAATCATTCAGCTGTTCAGTGACACAGAAAGGGGTGGCGGTGGCAGCAATCAGTTCTCCTGGAATTGTGAGAGGTTCTCCGTACACTAACTCAGCCACTGAAGTTCCGATGTCCTCCTTAGGAACAGTTCTTAGGCCCAGCATGACCCATGGTAGTTGTTCCATCCAGTTGGGACTATGCAGTCGAGCCATGAGTGAGGATTTAAGAGTCCTATGGAATCTCTCGACGATTCCGTTCGACTGTGGATGATAGGAAGTCGTTCGATGGATCTTAGTCCCGAGTCTTTCCATAATTTCCGTCCAGAGGGCAGACGTGAATTGAGAACCCCTGTCGGAAGTAATGTCTGTTGGGATGCCAAAACGGGCTATCCATACACTGATGAGCGCATGTGCACAAGTGACAGTAGATGTGTTTTGTAGGGGTATCACTTCTGGCCAGCGTGTGCTGCGGTCAATGATTGTAAATAGATAAGTGTATCCCTCGGAAGAAGGGAAAGAAGAAATCAGTCTACAGCACTGATTGCCACTCCCAAGAAGCTGTTTTATGCCAGCAGGAGCATCTCAAATGTCAAATTCAAACATTTGCAAGCACTAAAATCAGTAATATCATCGGAGTGTTGGGCATTTTATGACAAGTTGAAACAAGACTGAATCGGGAATGTCCTCAACAATACACTTTATCAAAGCAATCAATTTTGTCTACAATTATTATATACATTTTCTTCTTGTTATCTGGAGGGTGCTTGCGCAGCCCATAAGGCTGATACGGCGGGACGCTATCTCTCCCTGTCTAAGGCCAATCTCTTGATCTGTCCCCATGACCATCCCTTGGACTTTATCTCCTGTTCAATGCTCCTTCGCCGGGCCTCCGGCGGGCGCCCCCCCCCCCTTTTTTTTTGTTCCTCTGGCTATCCTGGGAGTGACATTTGGGTCCATTCTAAGGACATGTCCAATCCAGCACCACCTTTTCCTTCTCACTGCTACGAATACTGGTTAGATAATTGTTTTTTCAGGCAGTTCTTTATTTTATATAGTTCTGGATCATTAACTTGAATAAGTCTTCTTAGGGATTTTTTCTTTCGGGGGAGGTTGAATGATACAATATGGAATCATTTTAAATTTCTACTTGGTGATATTGAATTGATGTCTTTTTGATTATGTAAAATGTTCTGTTATATTATATAATGTGTTACAGTTACAGCATTACTTTAATACAGTTGAAAATGTTCTTGAAAGAATGAACTGGCTCCTTTTCGTAATTTGTTGGGTGATTGGAAGGCTGCTCCTTTGCTACTTCTCACACAAGCTACACTTTGTCATTCTAAGGGTTTTCTTCTGTTGTCTTTCGTCATAATCCTCTTACTTATAATAGACCTACGGTCGATTGGTGTTGAAAGTGTGAAAGGACTGGGAAATAAGAATAATATCAACCAGAAGTATAGTTAATAAACCAATTAATTCGATCAATCAATATTACTTGCAAAGTTAAATGCACCTAAAATCTATCAAACCAATCTGCCTTATTTCTTCAAAGTCCTTTGCATAGTTTTTCTAATAAATAAACTGAAAGATTCGTGCTGTAAACAAGTAAGTCAATGATTCACAAGCCACATGTTAAAATTATGAAAGCTCTAAACGCATGTGGCTAACCACGGCCACCTGCCGCAAACTTACGCGAGTAGAGCTTACAAACTTTCTGCTCCAATTTATTACGCAAGTCCGCGGGTTTGATTTACGCTTTTAAATGTTTCAAATTTAGAGTCTCTAAACACGTAAGTCTGTTTTATGATTAATTTTCAAAAACAAAAGAATTTTCACATTGACAGTTGTATACATAGAAGTATTCTTTACGAGATGTAGAAAGAGCAGTACATTTGCATTCTGTTTTTACTATTTATTACGTCTTTTGTCTCTCCTGTAAAATTTGCCTCAACGGACTTACGCGTTTAGAAACTTACAGGGATGATATATATATATATATATATATATATATATATATATATATATATATATATATATATATATATATATATAAATTAATTTTCTTTCATATTTGTTGAAACATGTAGAATGAGAACGATGTTGCAAGTGAAGAACAAAAGTTATCCTACTAGTGTGCCACGGTCTTTTTTTGGGTGGTAAAATGTAAACGTAATTCATTTTCATGTTTACGAATTGATACTCTGTCACTGGAGAGATCTTCTTTTGTTATAAGAGCCGATAAACTCTCACAATAAAGCTGCAACAACAAAAATGCATAGCATTTAAGTAAGGTTCGTTGTAGGCCAGTCTAGTGAGTACAGTGCGATAATGCTCCATCACCCGCACCAACGCACTGGTCTATCGCCGCTTTTCGCATTGACCCTCCGGGAACGTGGTAGGCCTCCAATGTCGAGGCCAGACGTGCGGGCTAGATGGCCTGGGACTGAGGAAGCCTTGCGGGCAGGTCAAACATTATAAACATGCTCTTATTGTTATTTGTTCATTTTACTTCCACAGTGTAGTGTGTTGTAATAACGTGACTCTACAAGAGGCAGAAAAACATTTTCTCCTATTATGTTTTATGGGTACAATTTTAGGTCCATTGTCACTTACAGAGTTATCAACATGACAAAATGTTATGCAAGTTTTGTTTGTCAAGTCATTACTGGGGGAGATATTGGCTACCACTGCAGAATATTCTTACTTTCCTTCTGTACTGAGACATCAAGCTGTGGCATGTTTGTATAATATTGTTTATCGCTGCTACATTGTTCATTGTCATGTCAGGTTGATGAAATTTGTCTATTATTTTCTGCATACATTGTACTTCCCTTTGTAACCCAAATTTCTCCGTAAGGATAAGATAAACATGTTTACTTTGCTTTGTCAAAAAATTGAAATGATTAGAAAAATTGTGTTGCTGTATGGAAAGTTTTACAAGCTGCTTCAAGCACCTACTAATAATTTCTTCTCTCTCTTTCATGACTTACCAGAGGGGAAGAAATGCTGCAGTGTATGCACTGGATAAGACTCACAGGAAGGTCTCGGCTGAGGTCATAGAGTACATGATGAAAAATGATCTAGATGTTTCTCAAAGGGACATGGTGAGCTTTGACTGAAGATATAGTAGTGTATTGTTTGTAAAAGAGTAATCATTTGAGTGGGGATTTAAGGGTAGTGTGAAAAAAAGTCATGTTAAATTATAGGAAAAAGAAAAGTTTACGCAGAAAAAATTATACGGTTCATATTATTCTCAAAACGGCTGCTTCTTCATGTTGCAACAATCTAAATTTCAAACTGCTGATTTTATTCTTTCTGACTTTCATGCAATCTACTTTGATGGTGGGTTTTTGAAGATAATCTTTTACCTGAGAAGATAATCCTACAAAAAAAGACTCACAGAAAAGTTGGTCAGTTTTAGAACTCCTCTTTACCATCTACACTGTTAATGCCAGGTAGAACACAAACTTCATTGCATGAATTTGTCTAAGGCCCATCAGGGTATATTGACAAAATATGATCGTTTCAGTGTTATCATTAAAAACGATAGGCTGTTTAAAAAAAAGAGTCACAAAGTTCCAACAGAGCACCGACGAAATGTATATTTATGTCAATTAGAAAAATATGTACATCTGTCATTGTCTAAGATAAATAATGATGTTAACGTTAAATGCACTCTTATTACTTTTTGTGTGAAAGAGTACTACTGTGTCATACAATTTATGAGTGTTACTCAGTAAGTTGATGAGAAATTGAGAATAATATGAACCGTATAATTTTTTCTGCGTAAACTTTTCTTTTTCCTATAATTTAACATGACTTTTTCAACTGTTTCAGTTTGCTCTATACTGGCAATGTGTGATGTGTCAGTTTGATAAGAGAAGAGATATAGATTAATCATGTAAAGTACCAGTACAAGGCTGTTGATGACACTTAAGTTTCTCTCTATTGCTGAGATTCCACTGCATTAGAGAGGGATTGTTTTCTTTTTCATGTTCTCTAAATAAGTGACATAATATACGATACCATTGAATACTTGTTTCTGACCTTGTTTGATATTCTGTACAGACTGGAGTTACTCTTAGAGATGTGGCAAGACTGGCCAGGAGAACAGATATTGTTACCCTTGTAGACAAAGTAAGTCTTTCTTGTCACACTGATTACAGCATAAACTCAAGTCTCTTTTTTTTTCATAAGAGTCCTTTGTAAAACAATTTGTGAGGCATTGTGGTGAAATCAGGTGTTGTCAGAATAATGAAATTGAAGAAATTAAAGTTTTTCCGCCACTTAAGCAATTTTTGTCAATTTTTTGTTTTTTGTCCCAACTTCTTTTATGTCCATTTGAGAACAAATTGTCCGTGTGGATATTACTGAAAATCATTTCAATTTTCAAAGACTCTCAAGCTATGGAAATCACCAAACTTTGGAAGCCATTTTCTCGCTAATTTTACCTCTAAAACCAGGCGAGCCCCAACTCCTTCAATCATAAATATCTCGACTCTTATTCAAGATAAGTTGGTGAATTTTTCATCGAAAGCAACAAAAAATAAGCTTTAATTTAAGGGAATACCAATAACTCAATTTGCCCGAAAATTGACTAGCACTTGATTCTAACTGCGCTGTGACAAATTTCTTAATTAATTTTTTTAGATTCATCAAACTGTTGGCCTGATATTTCTTGTATTTTATTATTTTTTTTGGTAAGTGTTTTATGGTGCTCGATACTTCATTAGGTCATATAAGTGCGTGGGACACTTTTAACATTTTCAGTTGGTAGCTAATTTTGAATTTTGCTAGGGTGGCAGCCGAAGCTTTCTCTTATTGATTTTAGACCATCAAGGGAAAAGTGCGCAACTTGCACACGGGACCTCAACGTTTTTTCGCCCTTGTTCGAGAAGCCTAGGTGTAGATCTTTCCTACCAGAAGATCAGGGGTGTGGCTGAAAGATAGCAGTAAGAAGGAGTCAAGGAGTAGCAGTAGAAAGGTTGCAGAAAGAGTCAGGCGCCCAGAGGAGGGGGCAAAGGAGGTGAGGGGGTGGCAGCAGAAAGTGGAGATGAAAGCAGACGACTGAACATTGCTAGAGAGCAGGAAAGAAGGTGAAAGCAGACAATTTCAGAGAAGAAAATGTTCGGGTCGCTACCCGGATTCGAACCCAGGACCTTTGAATGAGAGGCGAACACCTTAACCTCTAGGCCACGAGAGCCCCCCTCCCCCCTACTTCTTGTATAACTAAAATTGGTTAACCCAAGGGTTGAGAGGTTAATATATAATGGTACACATAGTATGTGTAGCAATGTTGATGGCGTTGCTTCCATATTGCTGAGATGCCTTTGAGTAAGACGTGATAAGTTCAGGTAGTAATATAATAGCACCTGGCCAGAAGTCTAGTCTTTTTTCTGCATTAAGTTTATTGTATTTTGCTTAGTACTTTGCGAACTATCTCACTTTGAATGTGTCTTTAATTCATTGCAAATTTTGAAAGAAAGACAAAGGTTTTAAAATTTGTTTCTGAACATAACTATGTTCGTGTGCCTGGTGAAAGGTATTATATTACTTATTTTGAGAAATTGTGTTTTCTTTCTTTTTCTGGTACACCATTTTTGAGCCAAATATTTAAAAACTTTTAAAGATAACTTCAGTTCTTTCTACCTGTATTACCTGTCCTGGGCGACAACGTCATTGCTCACTGGACAGGTCCATAAGTACTCAGTTCCTCCCGGCACCAAAGCCCGCAAGGTATCCATACTGATTGTTCCAGTGGCTGTCTGATTATGGCGACGTCTTTCCTTTCCAGGTAACCGTTCCTTTCTTCTTTCTCCCCTCTCTATCCTCATTTCCCGCATCCTGATGATTGCGTGGTGTTCTGCTGTCTCCCCGTCTTCCTCATCCCGCTACTTTTCCTCCAGGGTCTTCAACACTTCTCCTTTGTCAAATTTCACCCCACCATCAACCACTGCACTGCCTTCCAGCCTATCAGCCTCCTCATTGCCCTTCACTCCTGAGTGCCCTGGACGGAATATCCACGTGATGGCTCTAAGTGACGAGTGTTGTAGTGGGTTCATCCTTTCACTCCGAAGCAGCCCTTTCTCAACCCTTCGCAGGATGCTCTTGGAGTTCGTGACAATTATGAGATGGGTAGTCCTTGGTCTTGTATTTTGAAGCCAGCCAAGTGCTCTTGTTACGATCTCAATCTCAATTTTCATGCTGGAAGTTGTTCTTTCTATGGCCCTTGACGCTCCCAATTCTTTCTTTCTAGGATGTGGATAATGTTGTTGGATGGGGTGTGGATCAAGGTGAAGTGAATATCGATCAATTGGCCAAGCATATTGTTTGTCTCCAAAACCCTTGACGACACAGTTACTTAACTTTTTAAACCCTGATTTCTTTCAACCGTTTCCAGAGTTTTCTCTTCAGTCACCTAAACCTGGTGCACTATTTCTCATTATAACCCCAAAAGCTTGTCTCCAACTTTTAAATGGCAGAAACAAAGGATTAGTCATTACTAAGAAAAACTTGGATTGGGAATAGTTCCGCAAAACAGGAAAAAAAACTAGCTTTAAATAAAGCAAAACAGTTGTCACTTGTATCAGATGCTCCCAGCATCTGTTGGGGAACAGGGTTATTACCTCTGGACGCTCCCAGCATCCGATGGGGTTTAAAGAGTTAAGAAAGTAGCGCAGGTGCAAGCGCCGTAATTCTCTTATTAAACTAAACCAAAGTAGCTTGAGATAATTAAACAGTTTTAAAGTGTCATTAAAATGTTTTAAAATCAAATTCACAATCAAATAAACCAGAAATTTGCCAAAAAGACTTTACTTTGCTCACCAAGTGTAGGAGGGTACATACATGTAAGTGTGGACCTGTCCTTCTGTTACTGTGTCAATGTATTCATGCGCCCTATACGCCTTGAGAGAAGACACAAACTGATCTAATTTCTTAAACGGGACATGAAGGGAGGTGATTTTTTAGTAATCAAGTGTAGGAATTGTTGTCGAGGGGGGGAGGGAGGGAGGGAGAGAGGGAGAGAGAGAGAGAGAGAGAGAGAGATTGTTTCAGTGTGTAAAACATGTATTTACTAATGAACTGTTTTGTTGTGCATATGCGTGAGTGCACTTAACCTTTGTGACATCTACTACTGCCATTGCAAATGACCAAGACAAATTTCTCCCTGTGAGATGAATAAAGATTGTCATTGTCATTGTGGCTTTGCTTTGTTCATGAAATAGAATCGAGTACGAATGCACAAAACCTAGCGTCCCTTACTGTTTTGTTATATTCATGGGCACTTGACATAGAGATAGGTCACAAGCTGACCTAAATTTTGGAATGCAGTGTGATGGGGTTTGTTAATATGAATGATTGTAGAAACCTTCCGCAATGTAGGCTCCGACAGCAGAAGTTCTTATGCAATTTTTAAAATTATGTATTGTGTTAAAAACATCTTCAAAACAAGAATATTTTTTTTATGGCACTCTATATTTGATAAAAATTGATTTGTGACTTTTATTACCCTGTAATTCAGTTTGAGCAAATGCGTCTTATAATATATGTATATTATATATATATATATATATATATATATATATATATATATATATATATATATATATATATATATATATATATATAAAAAAATTAAAATTAAAATTTAAATAAAAATAAAAAAATATATATATATATAGATCTATATATTTAAAAAAAAAAAAATAAAAAAAAAAAAAATATATATATATATAAAAATATATATATATATATAAATATACATTTATAAAATTGTAGAACCCTTCTCCAGTCATGCACACATATCATTTTTGCAAGTTTCTGATCACCAAGACATTGAATAACATAAGTAAGTAAACATTTTTTGTTTGTGGCCCATTGTTTCTTGATGCCTAACATATTGCTTTTTTCAAAACTTGGATATTTTTGTTATAATATTCTACTTAGTCCGTGTCATGACACAGTGGAATCAAGTGATTGTCAATTCTTGGGCAATAGGAGTTCAATGGTATAAACTTCAAGCTTGTTTTTTTGTCTTGCTTTTGATGGGACCCCCCCCCCCCCCCCATCTATCTAGAATAAAAAATGTATTTGCGATTGAAGAAGGTGAGAGTCAGGCTGGTGTCAGAGTTATTTAAAATTACCGAGAACACGAATGCAAAAAATGGTGACTTCCAAAGCTTGAGTCTCCTTGGAAACTGCAAATTACATTTTTTGTTCTTTTAATCAACATTTTCATGTAGAATTCACTCAGAAATCTATTTTTAAATGGACATAACAGGTATTAAGTTAAAAAAGAAAAATTGTAAAAATTGCCCAATTGGGGAGAAATGCGTCATGACCGGCTGGCATCAGCCACTTGTCAATTTTTGCTCATGTGGAGTTATTGTTATCATCTTAAAGCTTGTTCGTTTGTCTTGTTTTCAATGAAAAAAATACTCATCTACCTTGAAAAGAAATTGAGATATTTAAAATAAAAAATAAATACATTACACTTTTATTTGTCCCGGAAGGGTACTTTGGTTTACAATGGCAAACCTACATTTACATACGTAAATACATAATTATAAATACGTACATACATAAATACATGCATAAATACATACATAAATACACAATATTACACAAATCAGAACAGTCTTCAACCATGCCACTGGTGGTGGCCACTGTGCAGCGCCCTGTATTTTGAGCAAGTGTTGTCATGTCCTGCTCAAGGACACACCCCAGTGCTCACCCATCTGATCCCCGCGCCACCACACCTGCCTGACATTACTTGAGTCTGAACTCACTACTCACTTAGCCACTGGAGTCCCCAAGTAAAATTGCGATTGAAGAGGGTGGGTGTTGCCTGGATACTGAGGAAAAATAAAATGGCAGCCAAAGTTTAGTGACTTCCAAAGCTTGAATGTCCTTTGACACTGCACATTTTCGGGTTTTTTTGTGCCTTTAATCAACTTTTTTTCAGTCAAAACCACACAGAATTGTATTTTTTAAGTGTACATGAAAGGTGATGAGCAATAAAAAAAAATTTGATACAAGTTACCAATGAAACAAGTGAAAAAATGCCGGGTGTTTTCAATTTAATAATTTTGACGAGTGCCTGATTTCATCCCGACGTCTCACAAATAATTTATTTTGATGTGCCCCTGATTTCACCACAGTGCCACAAATTATAAATATCAGGAGCAGATTAATTAATTATAATGAGAAAAATAAGTAAAAGGTCTGTTTTGGCGAAATGGACGTACAAATTTGGTCAATAGCTCATTACAAAAGTTCAAAAACAAGAATTTCTAAAAGTGGGACTGAGCTTAAATTTTTTAAAGAGAAAAATGGCCATGCTCTGGAATGATCATATTCAGCCAGTTTGGGCTCACTTACCAAGTTTCTGCAAGGTGCTAAACATTTGGTAAATATATGTCTCATTTCTTACATTCACAGTAAATATCATCAGCCTTTATTGTACGCTTTGCATTGTAATTCATTAGTAATTATTGTGGATATTCACTGAATTCATGTTGTATCTTTTTTTCCCCTTCATTTCTATAGGCGTATGTGAAACTGATTCGGACATCCAACTTGAAAGAGCTGGAGCGCTTGTGTGTCGTGAGATATGACAGCATGCTCATCAATTTCAATGTTAGTTTGGCATATATGATTTTAAAATTGTTTTGCTGAGATTATTTAAGATAGTTTTTTTTTTGCATGGTTTAGTAATATAACAGGGGGAGACTTAACCCTGTCAGAATCAGGCACAGGTGTTGGTTCATGCATTCTCAGGAATATGGTCCATTGGGATTAAGACTGTTCCAGAGAGTGGCAGAGATAAGAAAAAGAGAAAAGGGGGGGGGGGGCGGAGGAGGTAAAAGAGTCAGACAAATGCTAACCAGTAAATAGACAAAGTAAAGTAAGCGAGAGAGAGAGAGAGAGAGAGAGAGAGAGAGAGAGAGAGAGAGAGAGAGAGAGAGAGAGAGAGAGAGAGAGAGAGAGAGAGAGAGAGAGAGAAAGAGAGAGAAAGAAAGAGAGAGGTGGAGAGAGAGAGAGATGGAGAGAGAGAGAGACATGTTTTTTTTACCCCCTCAAAACTAAGTGTACAATAAGTTATAACTTCCCACCATATTAAAAGAAAACCTCTCCTTGATGAAACAATTTTCATTCTTTTCAAAGGTGCCTAGTCTGAGAGAGAAGAAGCCTTTTTATGACAGCTTTAAGTTTTGGTTTCTTTTTGAAAGTCATGACATATTTTTAACTGGAGCTGGAAATAAGATGATGGCGATAATTCTAATATACAGTCTGTCTAAGAGAGGACCCATTTAAATGGTAATTACCTGGTCATATTTGCACCAATTTCAATTAACCTTCAAACAAATGAAATTCAACCAAGGGGATTTAAATTTGTAGATGTGGAGATAATCCATCAGCATTTTCAAGAAGTTTCAAGTTTTAAAAGTTTCAATCAAAGTTGGGTAAAACTCTAAATTTAACTTATTAAAAGCATTCAGCTATCAGAGCATGGTCAGCCTGTTCTGGTTGCAGGATGAGGATAATAAAACCACAATCGTTAATCACATCAGATTGATTTATCTTACCCTGCTCAGAAGTTTGGGCAGGAGAAAGATTATGTTTTTGATGCGGCCTGGGTCCAGCAAGGCAGGGTCACACCCCACATTCTACAGTGGCTCCTTGCATGGCTGCAGGAAAGGAACCCCACATAAGTCAAGAGCTTACATATGAATTGTCTTCATATTCCCTTGACTTCTACCACCTCAATTATTTTCTTTGTGGTTTTTTTTAATGACTCGGTCTATGGAAACAAACAACCAATAATGGAACGGTTGAAATTCTATGTTGAGCGGGTCTAAAGAATTGACTAGAAACATGCCACTTTAAATAGGTTTTTTTTTTCTGGACACCTGGATTTTGAGAAGAATAGACCAATGTTCATGCCAATTCTGCTTTGTGTCTGAGTATTGTGTTTTTTTACTGTAATTTTCCTATTAGCACAGATACAAAAATAAACCATTTGGAAAGGCTCTAGACTTACACATTGTATTACTCACATCTGTGAAATAATAATTAGGCTCATTACCTGGCATTGTAAAGTCAAGAGTACCACCGTTTGTGGCTTTTCGCTGTCACCAGGAGACCTTTGTTCGATCCCCGAGTGGAAAGAAATTTTTATTGAGTTTCTCTGTCATTTTGTTGGGATGTGATATCCCTCTCTGCTCGGATTGGCTCTGACTGGCACGGTCAAAGCTGATTTGTGTTAACTGAGCATAACATTTTTACAGTCAATCATATTGTGTTAAGAGTTTTTTTTCCTTCTGATTTACACGTGTCTAAATTTCTATTAACTTTATGCAGCTTGGGTTAACTCCTTTCAGTACAGAGACACATTCATTTATGCCAGTGGCAATGAGACGGAAGAAGCTGTGGAATTTACAAAGTGGCTGCAAGAATTTGATGTGAGTGTTGAATTTCTGCCTTTCCTTTGAGTCCTGGTTCCCTGAGCTTATGGATTGTATGTATCTAAACTCGCTTTCACTGATGTAGGTGTATTTTGTTCCCATTGAGACAATTTAGATAATATAGGAGGCAGGATTTTGACCCTGCATGTCACAGCCAACCCAGACTGAGTGGGATACAGTATCCTAGCAGAAAAATTGGGATACTCGGTAAAAATTATCCCCGCTTGAGCATTAGACTTGGGTCTTCAGCTCGCAATAGTGAAGCACCTATCCTCCACACTGCAGACATGGGCCCTTTGGCTGACTGCTAGACTTACACCAAATCCGGCTTGGTGCCCAGGAGGGTTACGGTAACACATGCCCATACATGAATGCAGGTCTATGGATTTAGAGTAGAGTGGAGGTGAAGCTACAAGAGAACAGAAGCATCGGTACAGGCTTAAAAGCTCTTTCTTTTTTCCCCCCTAGTTAAAGTTGTTGTTTTTTTATGCCAATGTTTGGGAATGCATTTGTTTCAGAATAATGTATAAAACATATTGAGACAAAGTGGCTGCCATTTTAACAAGCATAATGCCGTGGACAACCGTTACTGTACAATGGCGCAAAAATCTTTTGGAGCGTGGAAGGTACAGTTAATCCTAAAACCGACTCTTGTCTGCTATAGGCTCCAGTGTTTAGATAAGATAAGCAGTATGTTACATGATTAATAAGTACAGTTCACTTGTGTGTTTGCCAAACCTTTTTAGGTGTTTTAATTTTAACAGAGACTTTGAAGTGTGTGCAGAACTTGAATCCTTCAAAGATGGGTGTGTGTCTCAAGTTAATAGTCTTTTCTGAGAGTGTGATGTATTTAAAAGTTGTATAGAGGTTCTTCTTATGTAATCATAGACTCATTTGCTTACTATACTGTATACTTCCTGAATGGTTTTAGTCATTTGGAAAAAAAGTTTTAATTCAAAGAAGAAAACTCACATTCTCTTTTATTACTGAAACTGGTCTGCTCACAGCTTGAGGTGAGAAAATTCCACTACATTGTCCGCCATCGGTCTCTTGATGACGTCATCAACCTCTTGGCTTCAACAGACCGACCAGAAATGTTGGTGAATGCAAGAGACAGGGTGAGCAGCAGAGATTTTCTTTGCAATTTTGAAATAGAAAATGACTTTCTTCAGTACTACTGGTGGTAAGCATTATACAGGTTGTAATAAATGCTACATGTCCTCTAGGGAAATGGTATACTCGAACGAAAAGTCTGGCATCAGGCTTTATTGTAAAGTTATCTGAGTCATCAAGCAGATGTTTGAAAATATAAAGTACCAGTTTGCTGAAAATACTTTAGAGGTATTGCTGAAAATACTTTAGAGGTATTGTAAAACGTTATGCTTTCTTTAATTATTTGCAGAAAACTCAAATGTCCTGGTACAATTGTTATAAATAGGGACTCAAATTTTTTCAAAGAATTGGGTTGGGGAAGGGCTGGATAAGACATGAAGAAGTAAAAATACTGCATTTGACTACAATATCCAAATAATTGCACTTAAAAAAGAACAGGCATTACTGTTTTGCTGGTCTTATCCATCTGATAAAAACTATGGGAGAAAAATGTCACAGAACAAGGAAGGAACAAGCTCTTTATCTTTGTCCCATGAGAAGTGGGAAAGAACATTGTTTACTCTGAAATTTCACCAGTGTTAGCCTACAGCTAATGATTATTGCATATTGCAATGCAATTTATATATGGATGTTTTTCTAAAGATATGATGATGAAAAAAAGTCAAATCGAAACTAGTCTGCAAATGACACGTACAAGTTTGAAAATATACTTTCCCTGAAATCGTTTGTCTGGATTCTCTCAGGTAGGCCTACAAATTCTCCAGCATTCATTTTCAGTGCAAACTTATTCTCACGAGCAAGTTGCTAGTCTTTCGTTAAACATATATCCCTTATGGACTGGACTGGACTGTGCTCCGTTATAGGATGATTTAGTTCTATATCATCAAAAATAATGATACATGTGCCTCAAATATAATTAACAGCCTAGAGATGACTTCCTTTATCAACCGGTGGATCTTAATCATAGCCAAAATTGTTTTTAAAATGTGGCTGGTTTTTCAATTGTTGAAGAAAATTTGTATGATTATCATTGTGTCGTGGAAGAGACAGATCGGCTATTTCATTGCGATTATTACAAAAAAAAGGCTTATCTTAAACATTTTATAAGGCTCGTTTATTTTGATCTTCAGTTGATGCCTTTTTGGTTGAAGAAATAACAGTCCTCACCAACAATATCTTAAACTTTCTTCCGTTTATATAGAATCTATATCCTCACTTTTACATCAGTGCTGCAAAGTAGTACTCAGTCTTAGCAATCTACTTCTCCTATATTTACTGCCCAAGCAAAGCTGAAGCATGCACACTGCTTTAACACTTTGCTGTCACACAGCCAGCAGTACAAAATACCCCATTTGGTCACCCGGCCAGGACAACGGCTGCTGCCGGCTTCTTGGGCCAGGCGACTGGAACAGCTAATTTTCACCAGCACATTATTGGGCCAAGTGACTGCAAAGTGTTAACATTGTCAAAATGCAAAGGGCAAATACTAAGTTTTGAATGAAGAAAAGCAAATGGACACACAATGGTCACGTACCTCTGGAAAAGAATAAGACACACAGACAATGACTAGGGAAAGAAAAGTTTAAGAAGTAGGACATCTGGTGTCCACCAACACAATAAAATAAGGTGCTCTTATCAGCCTTCTGCAACACAGACTTACACTCACACTCGGCATACACACAACGCATACACACACACACAAACACACACACACACACATACACACACATGTTCATTCACACTCTCACACTGTGTATCATTGATGTCTGACACTGATCATGTATTCACCCGATTAGGTTCTACATTTATTGTCCCTAATTATGTTATTAACAACAGTAATTACAGTTTGTGATACTATGATAAGTAAAAAGAATACTCCATTCAAAATTAGATAAATTCTGCTAGAAGATAATAAGAAAGAACTTAATCAAATTTTATTCCAAAAAAATTTGTTTTACCAAATTTAGCTGATACACATTTAGAGTGGGACAATAAAGATTTGTAACATTTATTATAGGCCTACCTGTTGCTACTATATAACACAAAATCACATGCACATAATTATATGTGTGGTTTTTCTATATCTGTTCCAAGTATAATAATAAAATGTTATTTAATTAAATGTCCAGGGTGGTCGTGCTGCAATTCACCTCTGTGTCTTGTATTGGAGGTTTGATGTACTCAAGCTGCTTCTTCATCATGATGCAGTGGATATCAATGCATGTGACAATGTAAGCTTGATGCTGATTTATCAGCTGTCAGTTAGTGGTGTTGTTGTTGCTAAAGTTGTTTCTGTTGTTGTAAGTATTGATCTTAGTGTTTCTGTTATTGTATAGCTGATGATGCTGTTGTTGGTATTGGAGAAGTTTCAGTTATGGGCGGTTGGAAGGTGCCAGTGGTAAACCCTACTTCTCTTTCTTGCTTTCTTTCTTTCTTGCTTGCTTTCTTTCTATCTATTTGTCTGACTCTTTCCCTGCACTAAGTAACTGTTATTGTGTAGATATATACAAGTGTCTCTTTACTGAAACAAACAAACTTGCATAAACTGTTTGGGTCTGTGCTCGTACCCTGAGTATGCTTCATGATACTTCATCTTATGTTAATTTTAGAAATGAGATCCATGATTGTTTCTGATTTTGACGATCTCTCGTCAGGAGCGGAGTCGTAATATGGGATGTGCGCTAACCGATCCAGTCACTCTTCAGCCATTCACTGTTGATGTGAGCATGCTCATAGTGTTATACATGTAGTACAACTTTGGCATGCACAATATAATATCATCATAGCAACATCAATGAACTGAGCACTGCATGTCATACACATTGGGAGGGATTAAGAGAGGGCATATTACCGCTCCGTTCCTGACGACAGAATCGTCAAAATCAGAAACAATCATCAACTAACAGGTAAGTCTCGATTGTTTCTACAATTTTAACTCAACTGCCGGTCAGGCCCTCCGTGGTTATATGGGATTTCAGAGCTCAACTGTGACTGCTTCACTTTACTCTCACTGAATATCATTCAGGTGTAAGACTACATGCACAGAGCAATTAGAAGATAATACAAGTTCAAATGAATCAACTAAGCTGTGGATTTTGATTGCTATATATATTATGTTTATAAAATCACATGGATATGCACAGAAAAAAATGTAAAGGCACAGAATTAGGGATTAACAGCTCATAATATTTACACATGAAGGGTTACATGAATATTTTGCGGTAAAGTGAGTCTGGATCAGTTTCTCTCCAAAATTTTCTCCAACTTGTTTTTTATAGAATCAAGTACAAGTGGTCTCTTTTGACCATCCCACTGCCGCCAAGATGGCATTTATGGAGATTCCAGACTGTAGAGCACAAGACGTACTGGCACTTCTGGTGCTGTGAGTTGTGAATATTAAGACGTCAAAACCAGTCGTACACAGGACTATTTTTAACCATTTACTCACAGTGTCTCTGCTGACTGATTTGAACGGTTTTTGGAAACTGAGTAGCAGTTTTGAGGCTCCGTTACCTTCCCTATGGGCCTTAGTCATGTTTATGTACACCTTCAGCATGTTTACAATGCACAAGTTTTTGTTTTCTTGGAAAGCCATGAATACTATTGGGTCAAGGTGATGCCCCTTCCTGGATTGCTTAAGGAGAGTCTTAATTATGAATGTACATTTTGTTTCTGTTAATTTCATGAAATTTATGTCCAAAGAATGAATGGTTTGGCATCTCTGCCCAGATAACAAAGCTAGAAACATTTTTCGTTTCAAAGTTACCTCCTTTAAAGTCAAATCCTCATTGGGAAACCACGACTCTAAAAAGTCCAGAACATGCAGCGGGTCCCACGTTGTCAGTTTACTTCTAAATGGTACCGCCCATTGACTTTCAAATATGCCTTTGATCAGTCTTTTTACACAGTCAAAATTTCCAAATGGGTTATTTTCTACATTTAAGTAGCATGACAAGGCTGACCTTGTGGTGCGCACAGCGGAGAGCGAAGCTCCTGAGCTAAGAAGTTGTCCCAAAAAATTAACTGCCGCAGTCACTGGCAGTGAAATGGGATCCCCTTGAGTCCTAAGAGCGAACCTCTTCAACATTGTAATATATGCCCTCTTAGTATCTGGTCGCCATGATGAGATTGGTAGCTCCTGAAAAGCCTTGTTGTACGTACTGTAGCCTGACTTCCTGCATAGAAGCAGTCTTAGCCTTTTCCTCAGTGGATGTAGAACATCCGGGTGGCTTGGAAGGGTCAGGAGCCTTTTGCATGCTGATGGTAGAACTGGTTGACGCACTAGAAGTTTCATGAGGAGAGGAAAAAATGGTTGAGTTGGCCAGAATTGTGCAATTACTCTCCCTGTTGCTACATCTTCCTTGATTTTTTTAAGTACCCTGGGAAGGAGACAGAATGACGGAAAAAACAGAAAATTAAGTGTTTTCCAGTTTAATGTGAATGCATCAGTTGCGAAAGCCCCTGGGTCTGGCTTTAGAGATACGACCTTTCACACTGGTGGTTCAGCCTGGATGCGAATAAGTCTACATCAGGCGTACACTCCAACATTTTCAAAGCGACATTCAAAAGTTCTGAGTCTATTTGTCTTTCAGTGTCAGCACTGACATGTCTACTTTCATAGTCTGCGCCTGTGTCTTTTCAGAGCCAGGGATTCTCACAACTGACAGCCTTATGTTCCTTTTGATACACCAATTCCATACGTTTTTGGCCAACTCGTCGAGTTTAGGGAATATTACTGATCCCATTTTGTTTAGGGAAATCATTGCTGCTGTGTTTTCCACGAACAGTCGGACATGAACATCCTTCAGTCCTTTGGCAAACGATTTCAAGCCCAGAAAGGCTGCAAGCATTTCTAACTCATAAATATGCATATTGCATGCTTCTTCGTGTGACCAGGCTCTGCCTGTTTTTTGAGTGCCACAGACAGCTCCCCGAGCTTTTGTGCTGGCATCTGTGGTGACCACCAACTGAGGGTCTGGTGTAGTTCTTGAACTCGCAGACGAGCCAATTTTTTTTCCACCTCTGTATGTCTTCAAGAGCTAGTGGCGATAGGTGCATTGATTTTTCCCAATTATATTTGCATGTTTTTGAAGCTTATATCTTGTCTTTTTGAATATTTATATAATGGTGAGGCCCTTAGGGCATGGCTGGAAAGCCATCGACCAGCAGACCTATGAGTCTTGCTGCGTCTCTTATTTTGTTAAACTGACAGCTGGAAATTTCCAGGGGGGCCTCCAAAATAACTTCTTTCATTATCTCAGTAAGAGTCAATGTCATTTCCTTTGATTTAATCATAAACACAAGGTAAGTTTTTCTTGTGTGGGAGTGAGAACAGATTTTGTAGGGTGCATGATGAACCCTTTTTATCAAAAACTGATATCGTGTCGCCTCGTTTTTCAAACAGTCTACTTTTTCATCTGCTAGAAGCAGTGAGTCATCAAGATAGCCTGTGCTAAGGTATGCCAAGCTACGCAAGTGGGCTTATATTGGCTTTGTCAGCTTTGCAAAGTTTCTAGGACACTGGGCCAGGCCATTGTTGAAAAACATATACTCGTAGAGTTGCCCTTTCTAGAAGAATTTAAAGTATTTTCTATTTTCTGCGGTAATGGGGACGCTATAATATGCAGAAACAAGATCTATGCTTGCCATCCAACAGTTTCTGGACACTAGATTCAAAATTGTAGCTAAATTTTCCATTTTAAACTTCTCATATTGAATATTTACCTTGAATTTTTTTAAGTTTAGGATCATTCAATATGAGCCATCACTCTTCTTTCTGGTAAACATGGAGGAGATAAACTCACCTGGTTCATGTCGTGATTCCACAATAACCCCTTTATCAATAGATCACAGATTTCATTGTCGATCACATTTTTCTTTGTCTCACTCGTCATAAAACTAGAATCTACTTTTCTCTTAGAAGGCGGTTCTTCACAAATTTCTATGGTTGTTCCAGACATCATATCTAAAATTGCTTTATCTGACCTGAAATGTTTCCAAAATTCTTTTAAAAGGGAATTTTGCCCTGCCTTGAATAATGCAGCTTTTGTCTCCAATAGTCTTTTTGTTACCAAAATGTCAGTCATACTTACCATATTTCCGTCAATAGTCGTAGTTACTTCCTTTTGTTTGCCACTGCCGCGTGGCTGGCTGAGGGTCTGTGGGCATAGCCCCCGGCCCCCTCTGGCCGGACAGACGCCCGGCCTGATAGGCTAGAAAATGCCTCCTTCTGTCCCGCTGAGCGGGTTAGCCGTACGCTGAGGTGTAAGCGTGAGTGGCATGTGGAGAGGAAAATTGCACCGTTTTTCTTTGTTCGTTCGCATCATGAATAGTTTTCTTTATGTCGTCGCCTTAGAGGAATTTAGTACCGTCTATTGGTACGTCACAGATACCCTTCATGTTCATGGGTAAGGCCCACCTTTGTGCTTCCTTTATGCGGCTGGTGATTTTCTGCTGGGAGTGCCCGAGGATGGAGATAACCTTCAATAACTTTTGGACAATGGGCCTTTTGCTTTCGCCATCGTTGACCAAAAGGTCAGCACACTGTGCCACCGCAGTAGTCACTTTCACAATCGTTTTCTAGATCGCGGTGTACCTGGCATCGTTCCTTTTCTCTTCGCTTTGTAACAGTTTCCGAATCTCTGGATTTGTTTGTCGTACCAGGAGCGCTTCACAATTTCCTGGCCTTTTGTACTTACTTACCTTTTCTTTCATCTTGTCATCTTTCATTGTTGTGCAGAATCTTTTCTCCGCAAACTTTGCGAGGTTTTCAGACAGAGGGTCCCTTATCTCTTCGTCTACCTTGTATTGCGAACCAATCCCCTGCCGCACTTAATGCCCTCTCGTCTCGATCCCTTTGATAGTCATTGTCAGGGGAGGCAGAACAGATCATCTATTATCTTGCCATCTGATAACACGTTTCCCGTCTCTTCAAGGTTAGAATGAGATGCTTGGGTGGTCTTGTTCACTCTCCTTGTCTGTTTCTCACTGCTTTGGTAATAGCGCTTCTTTTTGTGCTTGGAATGGGGGACTCACTCGAAGATGTAGAAACAGACCTTTTCCTTTTTCTTTTGTTTTTTACACTCATTAACGTCACCAATGCTTCCATTGCCTCCGCATTCCTTTTAAGTACATCTTAATAATATCAGTCTCTGACTGAGCAGAGGAGGGAAAAGTCATACGTTTTTGTTCACTGGGATCATGTACAGACAAAATGTCTTCAGTATCCGCCATGATTTGTCTTTCGTTTTAAAACGATTAACAGTATATAACTGACAATACTGAAACCCTGTCAGCCACTAGGGCAATGCCGAGGAGCCCAGAGGGCAAGAATTGTGCCTATGAATAGTATTGCTCAGAGAGCCAATTGAAGGGGAGCAGAGACTGTGGGTGGGGGCGATGTGCTGTGGTAATAATGTCAGCGAATAACAAATTATATTATAGCAGTAGTATAATACAAGTAATTTATGCAAGAGAAAATATAAGAGTTTTATACATTACAGAATCAGCTTCGGAAAACAAGGGGCAGGGGAACACACACAAAAATATAATCCATAGTGAAGAGCTCAAAATAGCCGCCACCGGTGCCTCCTTCCTGGAGAACAGGTAGACGTGCCGACGGGTCAAAGGTTGGGCACAAAGTGACTGGATCGGTTAGCGGGCATCCCATATAACCACGGAGGGCCTCACCAGCAGTTGAGTTAAAACCCTACCTTTCTGCACACCAAACTCAGACCTTAGCACACAGAGGTTTTAACATTAAGGGTCGGCTCCAGGGAGCTCTGGTGCACAGTTCTTTAGGCTGAGGGACACTATTCTGTGTTGGATAGAATTTGTAATGACAAGCTTAAAAATATTGATTCTGTCGTCTACTTTTGTTTCAACAGCTTTGTCTTTCTTAAGAAAAATACAAAATTTGCATGTTGTAATGCTGACTCTAGACCTAGTCCGTTGAGCTGGAGTAATCCCAGAGTTAACTCATTGGCTTTGACAAGGAGACAGCAATATTATGTTCCTGTTGATGCCAATTAGGAAAAAAATAGCTGGAATTGCGCATTCTTTACTAAACCTTGTTACTTTCGAAACATAATGAAATAAATTAATGAATTAATTTTCTTTTCCTCCAATGCGATGTTATAAATATTGTCTACTGTTTGGTATAATTGATATCGTACCCTTTCATATGTTCTTTGAAGTATTAATTATGTTCCTTGAATAGAACTTATTAACTCTGTCTTCACATTATGTGAATATTTTTTGTCCTGTGATCTAGCTTATATTATGCTGTGATATTTATGATCCTGCTTCAATTCCCAAATGAAGAGATTTTGATCTTGAGTAATTTGAAAAGTATTGATCAGTTTTTACCTCCGTTTTCATTACTCTCCTCCCATGGTTTGTTTTGCAGCTTGGTCGGACAGCCTATCACTATACCTGTGCTGTAGAAGAAGAGGACGAGAGAAAAGATTTCTGTTTTTTGCTGACTGATGCAGGAATTAACCAAGAGCTGTGTGACTGTGTGAGAACAGCATTTTCTGTCCATGTCTATTATGTTTTACACCTCCATCAACGCTTGTATTGTTTTTCTTAATTTGACATTGAATCATGAAGGAGGCTACTCTAAAGCATTTCAAAGTTGAATGTTATGCTACTTGAATCACTTTTTTTGAAATGCCTTTTAACAATGTGTACAGAAGATATGCCTTTCCTAAAAGGTGTCGAAGTTTACCTGCCTGTCTGTGAGCGCACCTCTGTAAAATTCAAATTGTTTGTCCCCTCATACCAGAGTGCTTTTTATAGTATCATTCAAAAGTAAAATGGCTATACAAAAAAACTCAAATTTCTCATAATATATCTCTGTAGTATTGCTGTTGAATTTTAACATGACTGGCGTCTGAGGCGCAGTGGTTAGGTACTTATCTGTCTAACACAAGAGACCTGAGTTTGATTACTGAGTGGGGAAAAAAAATTTTTAGTATCTCAGTCTTTCTGCTGGGATGTATCTCTTTCAGCCTAGGTTGACCCAGACAGGCAGAGTTTAAAGCCTGCCTCCTAATTTTTCTAAATTGTGTCAATGGAAATGTCAAAACACCTACAGTAAAAAAGCGATAAAAATGCAATGTCTTCAATTGTAACTTATTTCAAAAGGGTGTCTGATTTTGCACTTTTCCTCATCAGAACGTCTATGTATCAATCTTTTGTCTTGATGTTTCAGTCTGGCCACAGAGCAGTTGATTACATTAACAGCCGCAAAGCTAATGAGTGGCTTGCAAAGGAAAGAAAGGTGGGAAAGCTTGCCCTTGTCTGTTGCCCTTATAATCTCTTTCTGTTTTACCAAATAACGTGTGCTTGGCTTTCACTTCAAGGTACAGGCAATCCGATAAGTCTTTAACAATCACTTTTTCATAACGTTTAAGTGTACTTAAATCCACTGTTCTGTGACACTCTCGTTTATTTTCTATATTTTTTACCTGTCAAATTTAGCCCCTGTGTGGTGTGGCCACAGTCTATCATTTTCGCGACAAATCAGCCTTAAAACCTTCTCGAAGCGGTCTCTCGCAACAAAAGTTTCCCTCAAACTTGCAACCCCCCACCTCCCACACACATACACGCACACACTCACATATCGATTGTATCACGTAACTTCTTGTAAGAACACAGCTTGATCAAAGAATCTTCAGTGCTGCTTCTCTATATCGACATTGTCGTGACCAGAAAAAAAAATGTCGTTACAGAGAGTTGTCATTATAGAGAGACAGCCAAAAATATTACTAATAATATATAAGGGAAAATCGGGACCTGGGCACCATGTCGCTATGCAGAAGATGTCGTTATATCGAAGGTCGTTATAGAGAGACTACACTGTATATCAAAAGAAGCATGTGTATACGAAGTGTTGCTCATTGTTAACATGTAATGACCAAAATTTCTAATAGACATTAGTCAGATATAAATGCGTTTTAAACACTTATTTGAATTTTGCCCAAGATTGTCCCTTCCAATAGATACGGTGGGTAAAGTACTCCACAGGGAAAGGGTTTGGTTTGAAAATGCTCTCTGAGTCTCTGACTTTTACTTTGGGAAGGTTTTAAGTCTTTTTATGTGTAATTTTAAAGGCGGAGATAGTACAGTGGAATCCTGTTATAACGAGGGGGGGGGGGGGCTAGTGCGAAATGTCCGTTATAGCAAGACTCTCGTTGTGAGGGATCCAGTAATAAATTCAAAGGAAATAATAAAGTAGGCCTAATCTATGAGTTTGGTATTCTGTATATTTCGTTTTGTTATCTCCTCTGATGATGGCTTTGTCCAACATGACCTCTAGGTCTTACTTGATCAAAAATTGAATCCGGTTCCTTTCTCTAGGGTTAACGATGTTGACAGCTCGGCGTTGGCGATCAGAACGAAAGTTCTCTATGGTCACTCGCCCGCTGTGTTTTCCCCCACCCCATCACACCCTGTGGCATGTTACTGCGTCTGCTTGTGCACGTCTCACATTCGCTCCATCCATCACAGCACTGTGACCTCTCCATCGCCGCATCGGACACGGCGCACCGGCAGTGGAATTTTAGTTGCCGCGGTGGGTTCCCCGGCAGGCGCCTTATCACGTAGGGGTCACGGGGGTCAGCTCCCTGTCGCCGCTCTGTCTGGGCTGACTTAATTTTTGGTACTTTTCAAGGTACAATTTAAGGTGTATCCTTGTATTTATGGTAATTCTCATTTAGTGCACCCAAAGCATGGATTTCTGCTCTTGAGACTCAAAAAAGAACAGACATTGTAACTTGTCTGATTATTTCGTTAGATGCGCTGGAGTCGACAATGCTAAATCGTAATTTTTTTTGACTAGCGTGAATGAAAAAAAATCAATATAAAAAAAGGCCTCGTCAAAATCTGTCTAACTTTTGGAACACGAACGACATAGCATTGGTGCAGATACTCAGAAAAGATGGTATCTGTGCATATAATAGAAAGCTGTAATTTTGCAACTTTATCCATCGGGCGCACTATTCGTTATGAAGTGCTTCCTCCAAATACAACTTTATGTGTCTAATATTTGTGTCTAATATTTGTGTCTAATATTTGTGAATATTTGCATATTTTCTCGAAAGTTTATAAAAGTCACCATGAAGTTTCTCTATGAAAAGTACAAATCAATTTTAGTGCTAGAATACATCTTCAATGTAGATCTAATACAAGAACAGTATCTGTTACACTCCAGAAATTCAGTACTTTTCTTAAAACGTTAAGTCTAGGTTTTGTAAGTTGACTGAATAAAAGGGATGACTTCTCATAATTGGGTTATAAGAATAATTTCTAGCTTTCCAGGGACACTGAATCAGCACCAGACTTTTTCAGCTTTATTTTTCGTTTCTGTGACCATTTGCAATAACTGACAATGTGACTGATTTCTTTATATTCATAATTGTGTCCGCGCATATTTCCGACTCAAAAACTAAGAATGAATGTGTTAGCTGTCATTATTTTTATTCCGTACAAGAAGTTTATCTCTACCCATGTATTTACACGGTTTTGTGGGTTTTTTTAATTGCTTAGATTCTATATTATATCTTTTTAGTTGTATGCAGGCTGCCACAGACACAGAATGATTCATGAACAAACGCAGAGTAACTTTCTCTTGTTTAATAGTAAAATAAGAGCTAACGCTGATCGTTTTTAGTTAAAAAATGCAGATGTGCATCTTTCTTCTCTTATAACTTGACTACTATAACTACTCGCGTAGATTTAAGATTTCTCATGGTAAAAGACATGATATTCGTAGTCAGTTTAACACAGAATTTGGAGAGATCTGTCGTGCCTTTTTTGAATTAACAATCATAATTTATTCATAAGTTTGTAACTAAAATAGGACAAATTGGGTACTCTACAAACACTTGTCTAGAGCAAAAACTAAGGCACAGAAATTAACCGTTGCAAAGTAGAATAAATCTCAAGACATTGAGCTTTTAGTATGTTCACGTAATGGTTTGCTATGTGGGATGGGGAAGAAGTTATATCGTTTTAAACATAGTCAAAAATGCGAACTTCCTGACCAACACCGGCAAAGTCGCTTCTGGGCTCATTAACCCCGTGATCCCGAGCCGGGGAGCTCCGGCGGGCTGCTGAGTCACGCTAACTAGAAGTAACAGAATCGGGCGAAAAGTGACGCCGTGCGGAGAAGTGAGAGGCATGATAGGCCTAGATAATTTAGACTAGGCTGGCCTATCACTATCAGGCAATGCGTTCTGCTTCAAAACGGCTTGTGTGCGCATGTCCCTCCCTCCCCACTTATTCGCTCCGGCCTTCATTGTTGACACAAGTAGGCTCTCCCATTCTTTGTTTCGCTTGATCACCTACAAGTTTCTCAACTGACGCCGTTTTCATCATGTATAAATGGCCAAGCGCTGTGCACAGTAGCAGCAAAATTCCGCTATAATCGACTCGCGCGTTTATCTGATTGCGCTATAGCAGTATTTTATTTACAAAGATAAAGAAGGAAAAAAACAGGGTTTCAGAATAATGTCTTTATAACAGACTTCTCGTTACTTCAGGACTTGTTATAAGTGGACTCCACTGTATAGTTCATTAACCTTGTGGCAAAGATATTATGATGGTTCAATGTCGTAGATGCACTTAGAACAAGGGATTCCATCTTGTCTTGAATGTGTGATTTCACACGTAGCCAGTGCAGTTGGATTAAAACTATAGAGTTTCACACTCCTTGCCAGGTTTCTTTAGAATAAAATGAAAGCAGCTTGTTTTGAAGTTGCTATGCCTTATTCATAGTTTCAATGGGAGGGCTTTTAAAAGGGATTTGCAGTAGTCTGAAAGTGAAAGCACAAAGGATGAGATGAGGGTTTTATTGGAATTGACACAAAGATACTTTGACATTTGTCCTATTCTGCGCGCATCCCATATAACCACAGAGGGCCTGAGCGACGTCCTATTCTGCGTAGTTCAAAATGAATTATTGTCGATTCTACCAAGACTGCCACATTATATAAGGCCTGTACAAATGGCCACTTGTGTTTTTCTCTATATCATTATAAAGGCACTGCATAAAATGATAACTTGTCCAACGTGGCAGCCACCACTATATTTTATCAATCAACAGTCCAAAAATCCTGTCCAAGATGGCCATGCAAATCTGTCATCGTCCGACACGTAGCATACATTATATTAAATTTTGGTTCCTGACGCTGTGGATGAGCCGTCATAAAATCTATTCACCTGTCCTTATTGTTAGTCCCTCCAATAAATGAACCCATCTTGTTTACCCAAGTTGACAAGTCGGTAACAAATTTTCAGCTGCTGGTGAGCTGCTTTTAGTATACCCACCCACAACTCTGACCTACACTAATCATAAGTGAAACGAACAGTGGCTTCGTTTACAATACTAGGTAACGATGGATGTCAACATGATCTTACAACAAAAGTGTAGCTCATTTCCCCTGTGTCAGGAACCCATTTGTTTGTTTTACCATGGCACTTAATCTTCCTCGTCTAAGAGATTTCGTTTTGTTTTTTCCTTGCTGTGCACACTTTCTTTCTCACCTGAAACATTTCATAGAATCTACCCCTCACTGCTGCAACAAAATCACCCTTTGCAAACTCCCTCCAAATGAAAGAAAAACAAAACTATTTTAATGCGCCTATGGACAGTCCTAAATACGCAACTGCCTCCAGTTGGGACTGTGGAAGATTTTTTTTTTTTTCTTCAAAACATTTGCCTTTCTTGTTTCTATTTTTCTATCCTTTTTTCCATCTGATGTGAACATGTTTCCTAGGTATTTGAATTGGTTTTGTGTATAATGTGTACAAAAGTGGACCAAGCATGGACCCTTGGGAAGTGCCAAAGCACAGGCAGTAAGTGGATGACATTTCTTCATTGATAAGTACAGACTGTACAATCAGACACATATGACTCCATCCATTCAAGATCAGTCTCAGATTGGCCATAGCTTTGGTCTAACCTCGATCAAGATTGAAAGACCTATGGTGTTAAATGCAGCTCATAAATCGAGTAAGGCAAGAACTTACCTTTGTCAGTTTCACATAGGAGGTCATTCTGGACTTTTCATAAGTGCTGTCTTTGCATTGTGAAACTCTGTAGGCTGACTGATAGCATTCTGAAAGATGATTTTTTTCAAGAGATGCTTTTAACTGAGACTAGCTCCCATGTTTTTAGGATTTTAAACAAAAATTGTAGGCTAGAGATTGGCCTATAGATCTTAAACTTATCTGCTTCATTTGTTGAGCTGTTGCAACTGCATGCTTGAAACATGAGGGCACTGTTCCTAAAAGGAGAAAGTCGATCGTTTTTATTTTTGTTAGAACATCATCTTGATGGTTGACTGATGAAGATGATGGAAGCAGGACTTTGGTGGTGCCGACATTATTATCTCTTTACAGAGTCCTGAGAGACAGGTTTAGAATTGCTCAACAAAGTGTACTTCTCGAATTACGGTGATAATGTATTAAGTTTATTCAGTATGTTTCTTATTGCAGCAAATTTTTCCCCATCGCAGGTCCCAAAGGGGTTTGCTAGCCCTTTTGAAGAAGAGGCAAAAGGAATGAAGGTCAATTTGGATTTTGGCAAAGTGAATTAAACATGTAAAAGAGTTTTAGATGTTAAAGAACTGAATCAGTAAATATATACAAAAACGTTTTATTACTGTGTTTTTCTTTCTTTTACAGATGCGTTATGGCATGGTGAAACAGCTTGCATGTGTGGACAAGGTATGAATGTAATTGATATCTAAAATTGGGTGTTATGACATTGTCTGATTAATGTTGAAACGGTGATATTATAGTTTTTGTGTTTCATTAGCTCAATAAAAGCAGAAGAAAGAACTGGAAAATACATCTAATCATATAGTAGGTACCACAAACTGAAATTTCAAAGTCCTCTGATTTCATAGTTAACTGCACTACCTTATAGAATTTATCATTCTGAGCATTTTGATACCAGATTTATACATATAGCTTCATTTTTAACAAAGTTATGACCATCTGAAGTTGCAAAAAATGTTTACAGTTTTTTAATTGCGAAATGTCTACACTTTGAGATGTCACAACATTCTTAAATTTGAACGGATATTCACAAAAACTTGTAGACACACACCTATGAACATAGAAAACAAGCTCAATTTTTTTCAGGGCTATCAAATAACCAGAAGATGGAAATTTATTGATGTAAACATGGCTTTTTGACGAAAACGGCAAGAAATACAAGGGGAGGTTAAAATCACCTCGCGACTACCGGCTTATCGGCTGCGTGCTGAAGGGAAGGAGAGAGAATTTATACGAAACCGGGGCGATGGTGCCCTGCTTGCGAACCGATGGGGAGCGTCCGGTGTTTATTTGCGTACAATGGCTGTGTTATTCTTGAAGAGGAATGAATGGGCTTTCTGCCGTTATATTTCCGTTGTCAGTCCGATCACTGGTTCCATAAAAAAACCACACCGAAAGTTTTCACACGCAAATCTCTTCTATTAATTCTCAAAGGACAGTCTTTAGAAATATATCACCGGAAAGAGCGTCTTCTCATCTTGAAATATCGACGAATCAGATTGCAGTATTTAATACCATACGCTCCCCGTTCCTGTTCAACCGAGGTCACTCAAAAAATCAATACACGAAACGTGCTGCCGCAACAGTGAAAACCTCGATAGTGTTGTCTTTTATCCCACAAGATTTTGCTTTCAAAAGAATCGTTGATTCAAATAAATAATACCACTAAAAAGTGGAAAAGTTCCTCTTTCTTCTGATATATTAAGTGTCTGTGTGTATGCATGATCACACAGTGTTTTAGGAGGGTAAAAATGTGGGTTTTGGTCTCCGTGACAGTGCGCCACGGGGGTGCACGGCCAGTTTGCGGTACCTACATATAGCCTGACCTGCGGATAAAAAATTATTGTACATTTTATACCCCCTCTGGATCATTTAGATGTTTGGCTAAGCCAAACTTGCCAGTACCAAACTAAACTGCTCAGTGAAATACAACACCAAAGCAAAAAGATGACATTTGATAAAATAGAATTCAACGTGTAGGAATTGAACCATCATGTTTTGCATTTGTAGCAAAAAGGAAAACTTTTACACAGCAGAATACATACTGACAGTCTTGTAACAGTTCCAAACCTTGAAAGTCGGAAAATACTACTTTCAAAGAAAACAGAATGCTAGAACACAGATATAAAGCCTATTCTTGATAAATATATATGATATGATTTTATGTGCATGCGCGCGTAGATGCATGCATACATGTATGTGTGAGTGGCATGGCAATGAAATGAGACACTCTTATAAATAATAGAATAGTAAAACCCAACATTTTTTTTCTTTCCATTTGGCTTTTTAATCAATTTTTTTACGAGGGGCTCATCACAATTTATGCTCACTGGGTCCCCCCAGGGCAATGCCACTGACTGAAGTGTCTGTAGGCCATTCCCAAAGGGGGGATATTAACACGTTCTTATGCACAGTAGAATTGTGAATGGGCTGACTTATCAATGTCATGCTCACACTGCTTTTTCTTTTCTCATCCTTACCATCGTCGTTTTTCTTCTACTTCTTTTGTATGTTTGTCACTCTCTTGTGAAGTGCTATTTCTGGGGTGTCTGTCTTGATAGTCGAAGCTGACTTTGTGCTGTTCAGGCTAGAGAGGTGAGCAGAGAAAGCCTGATTTCCTGTTTGGACTTCTCTGTTGACATCCACCCCTTGGCCCTCACATGACCTTATGCAGTTGCGAGCGCCGTAAAAACCTTACTAAAACTTGAACCCGTTTTGGTGTGAATTTTATTGAAAAGTGTTGATCAAAAGCGCAAAAAATTTAAATTTGCAGTTTCCAAGGACACTCAAGCAAACTTGACCCCTGAAACCAGGCACCCCCACCTATGTCAATCACTAATGTCTCAACTTCTATTCAAAACAGATGAGTAGGCCTACTTTTTTTCAGCAAAAGCATGTCAAAGTCAAATACACAAACTAAAGATGATACCATTAACTCCATTATTATAAAAAAAATAATGAACCCAAAAACTTACAAGTGCCTGATTCCACTGCGTCATCACACAATCACACACACACACACTCATAATATAAAATGTATAGGCCCACAGTACTCATTGTCTAAGATCTCGGTGCTTGGGAGCATAGAACATGAAGGATCTTTGGGAAGAATTCAGTAACTCATGATCAGCCCACAATTAATAATAATAATAAATAGCATTTATACTGGGCATTTCCATTTCCTAAAAGATGCTCAATGCGCATTACAATGAAAAAGACATCACATCTTAAAAATTAATCAACACAAATGTGTACGTAAAACAAAGTATTATACATACAATATAAATGCATATGTGTAAAATTTTATACCAGAAAAACAGTCTCGCAGTGAGGTTGAAAATGTGTTCACTAAAAATATACAATGCAATATAAATTCACGAACAGTCAAAATACAGTTGAAACGTGAGTAACTAGAAACATTAATTAAAACATTAATTCTATACAGATAAAAAAACATTTCCGTTCTCTCTCTCTCTCTCTCTCTCTCTCTCTCTCTCTCTCTCTCTCTCTCTCTCCCCCTCTCTCTCTCTCCCCCTCTCTCTCTCCCTCTCCCTCTATCTCTCTCTCTTTCTCTCTCCCTCTCTCGCTATCTCTCTCTTTTCTCTCTCTTTTCTCTCTCTATCTCTCTCTTTTTCTCTCTCTTTTTCTCTCTCTCATTCTCACTCGCTATTTCTCCAGTCTCACAGTCTGGCATACACATGCATATATATCACAGTACATCATTATGACAGGTATGCTTTTGTGAATAAAAAATGCTTCAGCTGATTTTTGAAAATGGAAATTGTTGGGGCAGATCTTATTTTATATGGGAGTTTGTTCCATACCTGGGGACCAAAGAACAAAAAGGAATGCCCGCCGTATGTTTTGTAGTTTTGTTTTGGAGTTTTAAGAATTAGATTGTCAGAGGCTGATCTAAGGGCTCTAGGTGGATTATATAATTCCAGGAATGTTTTAAGATAAAAAGGTGCACTATCATTTATACATTTAAAACAGAGAACGGCAGTTTTGTATTTAATCCTTTCTTTTGGTAAATTTATCTCCCCTTATTTTGAACTAATGTGACCTCTGGGTGGGTTTATAACTCATGGCGTGCAACAAATTTTTAGGCTTGATGACCAGTCACAATGGCATGAGGCATACCATTTACACTTATCCAATCTGGAGTCTCAAGACCCACATCGATCCCATTGCTCTGCCCCTTAACCATAACGTGTCCAAACTTTATAGCTTTCCTTCTCTGACCAAGCTCAAGGCTTATGTCATAACTCATCATTGTGTTGTGACAGCGCCAATTTAAAATCCATCCTGTCAAGCAAATTCAGGCAGGGAGATGAAAGACAGCTGTGGTCGTCAGGGAGACAAAACACTGACCTGTTCACAGTCTGATGCAACCCTGTGTGACGTGTAGGCCCTACCAACCCAGTGTGTGATGTCAGTTCAGGAGATTGGCTTGAATAAGAGCGCGATGTTTGGGGAAAATTAATGTGTCAACAAATTCACTCTTCAGAGTGATTCTATCTGGGGCAAACATAGTACCTACTCATCGATGTTAATGATGGAGATGTATTTGTGTTCATGAGATGAACAATGGACGAGAGAGGCGCTGAAACTTAATTAACATTGTTTTGTGAAATAAATACATTGTCAATGAATGTCAATAATAATTTGTTAACAAATTTGCTCAGGGTCTCATATTTGGCAAGTAAATAAGTAATCAATATTTCTTCATGATTTATTTCTATTCTCGTATATTTATTTGAATGACTATTTGATCTTCTTTCAGTATGAGGAACTTTGTCACTTGATGAAGTACAGAGGGAAAACTTTGAAACATTTCAATATGGCTGTTCGCAATTTCAAGTATCCAGTGCCTTTATTTGCTGCCTTAGTAAGTCTGTTGTATTTTAGAAAAATAAAATCTCTACTTATTTCTTTTCTTAACCCTATCCATACGCCCTTTGGTCATTTTGTACCCCCGGGGTTGTATTCTTCACATTTTAGAATACTTCTAGTAGGATGATCTCTTTGAAACTTTCAGCATTTCTCAAAAAATAATTTTGACAGACTGCTGTGCAAAGCGTACGGATCAGATTAACGAGTTATTTTCCTCTTTAGATAGTGGTGGCACAGAGTTCCTCACGTTGTATGGATACAATAGTAAAACACGATGTACGGATAGGGTTTAATGAAATATCTCAGTTTTTGTGTAAAAGAAAATCTGTAGTTTTTGTAGAAATGAACGTGACAAACGCCAATTTCAAAGTTTGGCTGAAACTAACACCATTGTATTGAAAAAAGTGTGGCACATTCTAAAGTCAATGTCTTTTTCACAAAATGCGATGTTTCCTCTTTGAGGAACTGCAGAAAGTGACACTTGTTTGATCAAACGTGACAAGAGTGATGAACCTTTTTTGACGAACCTTGCGCACTAATTGAGCTCTTTGTTTTAGTCACGTGACTCTGCTTGTGATTGACAACAGTTTATTGACGGAATGTCCAGCCCTTCCATATTATTGTAATTTGGATATGTCATATTTTGTCTACGAATGTGTGGAGATTTCTTCAATTAAAAGGAACTGAATCTTTATGTTGACTCTAAAAATTCTGTTGCTCAAGTTCATTCAGTATAGATCTATAGGTAAAGAACAGAAATCTTTATTTTTCTGAAAACTGGAATAATGGATGTGTAGCGTTCTGTCACAAAACTGTTGAAATATAGATCTCTATATCATGGATTATACTTTTCAAACTTTATTTTATGATAAATTTTTAAAAATTTCAAATGATGTATTTTTTAACACATGTTAATTTCAGTTTAAAACTTCACAAGAACTTCTTTTTCAAGTAAATTCATTCTGATTTTCCATCTATGTCCCCTGCAAGACATACGCACTGTAGTGCATTAGGCCCATAGGGCTATCTGTTCACTGATCCATATTGCCTGATGACTAGTTGCTCATATTCAGCTGGACTTACTGAGGTTAATAAGGTTGAGTGCCTTCATGAAGAAAAAGGTCCTACTTAGGAAAGGAAAATTTGACTGTCTTTATTGCTATTCCAAAGCCATTCTATTAGATAAGGAGCCTCACACACATGTGACTGATTACTGTGTTTTTCTGAAACCACTCTCTTTATCTCTCTTTCTCTGTCCTCACTTATCTTTCTTCCTCTCTATTATTCTCCTTCTGTCCCCGATCTTTTCTTGAAAGTGGCCTTTTGCAAGAAAAAGCCAAAAGCTATGCTTTCCCTCCATTTGCAGAAAAATCAAAAGTGTAAGTGCCCACTTCCATATGCTTAAAATGTTTGTTTTTTCAATATTAGGTCTATTTGATTTCGAAGAAGTACACTTTAACTCATTCGCTACGTATTCTTTTCGGCTTGTGGACAAATAAATATCAACATATTGTAGAATACATCTGTATACATGTGTATTTTTCAACTTTGGTTCCTGTAAGAGGCGATTATGCAACACAGTTGTGATTGGATGCGGATAAATTTTGAAAATAAAAAATTAATATTCTCAGGTGAAACTAAAAAAATATGTTTGCACCTAGTCAAATGATGCATCAAAATAACTATAACTGTATATAGAATAGGAAAATATTGAAAAAAGTGCAGTTATTTACATATATTCCATAATGTACATTTGGTCCATACCTCCGATATTGAAAAAAAAATGTTTTTAAAAATAATATTGAAAAAGGATCACAAACAGAAAAAAACACTCGTATCTTATATGGAATTATTCAGAATTGCATTTGGAATAAACCTATACTTGTCTTGAGTGGTACTTTTTGAGTAATTTCACCAAAAAGTAGTGATGTTGTGGAGGAAAAAATATTTTGACTATTTAGATCTAGGCCTAGATCTAGCACTCAAAAATATAGATTTCTCAATTACAGTGCATTGGCAATTTGTGTCCAATAGTATCAACTTTATAATGAAGAGTCCTACATTTCTTTAGTGAGCAAAATAATGATAGGCCTACATTTTGTTGTGTAAAAGTACTAAGACTGGTGTCTGGGCTATAATTTGGGCTTCGCGATAAAACAATGTCGCATAAACTTCGAAATAGCGGGGCTGGGGCGACCATCCCCGACCTGGCGGGTCCCAGGTGGCGGATAGGGAACGGCCACTGTAATGGAGGTTAGCTGTGAATATATTGAATAAGCAGCCCCGGACCAACTGGCGATGCTCTTACCAGGATGGGATGAGGTGGTAGGTGGCGCTACCACGTCATTAAATGCCCTAGGAGTCCTCTGACGGGAGCATCATGCGGAAAAGGACCGCAATAAGTCCTGGCTACAGGTGGGATCCGGTAACAATTCCTCCCTGTGCTCCCAGGGTAGGTCCTTGGACCTGGAGCTGGAGTGCTGAAATCGGAGGTATTGGGCCGCAAGGCGCACTCTAGAGAACCACAATATCAAGTAATACTGCAATAAATGACACTTGAAGTAGGTAACTTTAGATATGGTGCTCGCCCTGTGAGGACCCACCAGGCAGGTGCAGTGCCGGGCCCCAAGCCTCGAAGGGGTCCACCCCAGCGACTGGAGGGCCTTCCATTGTCTTGGAATGCCAGGAGATGAGGAAGAAAAAACACATCCTTCAGCACTGCAAGACACACAGGGCCCTGAGCTGAGACAGGAAACGTGGCCAACCCCACTGACGCTGCAAGAGAAGCTATATGGGCCGACAGATGAACTGAGCAGGACGGCCCAATTTATGACAGATACCAGACTTCAAGTGTGATGCGATTGAGAAGAAGAAGAAGAAAACTTCGAAATAGTGTTTCAAAACTGAATCAAAACTTCCGATTTTAGGTGGAAACGCTTGACCCGGAAGTCAACATTATATTATGGCCTTTGTATTAACTTGGATATGTGGATTGGAATAGAAACCAAGCTAAAATTGAACGTCGGTTCTCGAGCCGCCGGGGGCGGCTTAGCATACTGACCGCACTATAGCCGTGCCGCCCCCCCCCCCACGGATCGGCGTAGCGAATGAGTTAATTTTATTTCCTTCCTATGCTTTCATTTGAGTCCTATTGGTGCTGCTTGTTTTGTGTGTGTCCCATGATGCCTTTATTTCTTGCATATATCTCATAATAATTTTGTATCCGTTGCTATTAATGTCTTTGTTTTAGTTATCACCCCTGATGCCAGAGTACAGAGATTTAATGTTTGTGGCAATGGACCATGCCAAGGAGGATATTGTTGTGAAGCTGATTCAGCTGGGTGCAGACTGGAACAGGAGAGAATTGGTAATATTCGAAACGCCATTATGAATGCCCATATAAAAGTTATTTTATGTGTTCCACGGTGGTGAAATCAGGTGTACATCAAAATAATAATTGACATATTTCTGCTTGTTGGGCTATTTTTATTAATTTTTTTTGCTCTTACGTCAAATCACAATTATGATGATGTAATACTGGTCTGAGCACACCAACCTTCTGTCTTGACTAGAAGGGTCAAAGTGGTCCATCTGCTAAATGATCTTAGTCTAAATTTTGTTGATGGAGGTCTAGTACATTTGCAATCAATCAGCTAGAAAAAAGGCTGCAAGGCCACTGGTTGCTCAGTTAGTAGGCTATGTAATACAGAAATGTACCAAAGGTTTTTATGGGCATAGCGATACAGTTGTTTCAAAATGACACAAGATATTGGCAAACTCAACATTTTTTCCCTGACAGACTAAAAAGGTGCTGTTTTTTGTATATTGTTCAAATTCAAAGTCTTTCTTCTAGTGGTCCCCTCAAATTTTCTCAAATATTTTTGTATTGTTGGTTCAATGATGATTTACCATCACCTGCTCGATATTAAAAGGCATTTTGATGGTGATGGTTGCAAACTATCTCAGTCAGAAATTATAAGTTTCAAGAAAAAGAATGGCCAAGTGTCCACTGAGAAAAATACATGTGTCACGACGTGGTGGAATCAGGGGCTGGTCAATTTTTGGGCGTGTAGAGTCATTGGTATAATCTTAAAGCTCGTTCATTTGTCTTGGTTTGGGTGAAAACAATACCCATTTATCTTGAAAACAAGTTGAGATATTATCGATTGAATGAGGTGGTGTAGCCTGATTATAGAAGTAAAATTAGCAAGAAAATGGCCGCCAAAGTTTGGTTGTTTACATAGTTTGAGAGCCTGTAGAAACTGAAAATTTACATTTTGCGTGCCTTTAACCAAGATTTTCAGTAAAATCCACACAGAAATGTGTGCTTTAATGGACATAAAAGGTGTTGAACCAAAATTTTTTTAATTGACAAAAATTACAAAACCTGCGGAAAATGCCAGCTTCTCCAATTGAAGAGTGGTTTTCAAAAACTCTGTAAGTCAGTTTTGACAAGCGCCTGATTTCACTACAATTGTACACACACACAATGCAAATGTATGTGTAAAACATCATGATGAAATCAGGCTCTCGTCAAAACTGACTTACAGAGTTTTGGAAAACCACTCTTCAATTTCATTATTTTGACAAGCGCCTGATTTCACCATGCTGCATCACATTGTGAGGCAGCGTGGTGGAATCAGGCTCTCGTCAAAATAATCAAAGTGAAGAAACTTGCTTTTTTCCGCAGGTTTGTGAATTTTTATCAAAAACTCATTTCTGTGTGGATTTTTCTGAAAAGCGTTGATTAAGGGCACAAAAATGTAAATTTTCATTTACCATGGACTCTTAAGCTAAGGAAATAATTAATCTTTGACGGCGATTTTCTCACTAATTTTACCTCTGGAAACAGTGACCCCCACCTCCTTCTTTCGCAAATATTTCGACTTGTATTCAAGATAAATGGATATTTTTTTCACCCAAATAAAGACAAGTGATTAAGCTTTAAGATGATAACAATAACTCTACATGCCCAAAAATTGACGAGAGCCTGATTTCACCACGCTGCCTCACATATACATTTTGCACCAATGTCATATTTCATAAACTTCACTCTAGTGTAAACTTATAATTTAATAAGACATAACGTTAGAGTGTTTCCAGACACCTAATTTTGAGTGTACTTGGTGTGTAACTACTATTGCTGTTTAGTAGGTTTACTTTCACTGACCCTGGAATTGATTTCCAAGGTTTGAAAACTACTTTCACAATATGTGCTTCAACTCAAGACAAAGAACAAACTTAAGCTTAATAAGACTAAGGTGTGTACCGCTTGCCTCAGAGATGCTTTATACAAATTACTATTCACATTTATTGGTGTTTAGATGAGAAGCTCCTTACAATCATTATACCCACATAGATGACACCAGCTGCTGGGAGCAATTGTTTGTTAGTTTAATAAATAATAATAATAATAATAATAGATAGCATTTGTATAGCGCATATCCCCGCTCAGCAGCAGGCTCTATGCGCTTTACACTATATTATTACCCCAGCAGACCATAGAACACTCCGAAACATTCTCAGCTTCCCGGGAAGCATACAGTGCAAGCAGCCGATTAAGCGCTCAAACACTAACAAACTGACAAGATCTTTCACTGTCTATAGCCGGGTACCCATTCCCACCTGGGTGAAGTGAGGAAAATTCGTGTTAAGTGCCTTTCCCAAGGACACAACGCCGGGCCCTTGACGGGATTCGAACCCACGACCTTACGGTTGCGAGTCCGAGAGCCTAACCACTAGGCCAACGACGTTGCAACGTTGTTTAGGTTGCAACTTGGGCTGCTGGGAGCGCTGCTTGAGTTTAATGAGTTAAACACCCTTCATTTGCTTTTTACGTAGTATGTATCTTGTGACTCTATTTTTCTATTTGTGATATAGCTTAATTTGTTGTGCTGTGTATATGCAACATGCTTTAAGAACCGTCAAGGAGCATTGCTGAGTGTATATATTTACACCTTTCAAAAAGCTGCTTCGTTTCTTTCCCTCTGTAGTTTCTTTCTGTTTATCTTGCAACACTGAATTACAATTATCCTGTTGATTTGCCTCTCTTTTCTCAAGTGGCTGAGAAGTATTTTTACTTTTGTGTATTTCTGTGTCTTTGAGGGCTGTAAACTTCAACCGTATTAGAATCTGGCTATTCTCACCTCTAATATAATATTGATAATTAATATTGTCACATGTTTTGGGTTTTTAAAAATTCTTTGATCTTTCACAGAGGAGAGGGTAAATACCACTAACTCATATGCTTTTATCATTCTATTATAGTAATCTTTATGTATTTTCTTGTCATTCTTGTAATTACCTCTTACTTTGAAAATTTTGTCTCATTTCAGTGTGAAACCAAAGCTGAATGTGAAGAAAAAGGGGAGATGCAGAGTGTTATAATGTCTGTGAAAGAACGAGCAAAAATTTTAGGAATGACTAAAGTTTTGTATGCAATAGAAAAGAAAAAGGATTTTTTGTTGAGACGAGCTGAGGAAAGAAGAACATGGAAAAAAGGGACAGACAGAAAGAGTACAAAAGGACAGGCTCGTGTCGAAAATCTTCGGGTTACTCAGAAACCTTCTGGATCAGAAGGTGATGAGGAGCAGAATGTCTCTTTTGAGGAGTCTGTAGTAGAGAGTGATGAAGAGTATGATGGCAGCATTGAGGAGGGCCAGGAGGATGCTGGTGACAAGGATGCTGATGAGCAAGACTATGTTGATGAGGAATTTGAAGAAGTTGAAGTGGAAAATTCAAGTAATGCAAGTCATAACATTGATGATCAAGATGAAGACTTTCATGACTTTTATAGCAAGGATAGCTTTGAACTTTGATTTGCATGACTATGAAATAACAAGTAATCAGTGTTGTATAATATAGTATATGTGAGCATTCATGTTGGTATAATTTAGATGACTGGCATCTGTGATGTAAAGGATAGGCTCTTTGCCTTCCACACCAAAGATATGAGTTCAGTTTTCATTTGAATGTGAAGATATTTCATTTAGTACTTTGTGTGTCTGTTGGACAAGTTTCATGCTGGCCAAGTTGGCCCTGGCAAGTAGGGTTGGAGCACTGATCGTGGAGTAGAACATTTGCAAACATTTTCAGTATGAATTCAAATGATTTGGAAAAGCAAAGACTAGAATGAGGCTATCTGTGGCTTAGTTTGACCATAGTCCCCTTATACTGAAAAAAACCCAAACCATCACTTATTACAGGGCCAAGGCAGGTAAATGTCATTTTGAAGAACAGAATAACTGTTTTTAAATTCAACCTTTGGTTTCTGTGATATCCCTACAAATATTCACTACTTTGAATTATTCCGACAAGTCTTTTGAAATAAGTCATCTCCTTCTTAAAGGAGCATACAATGAATGAATTCCTAGAATCAAATAGTGCAAAATTTAAAATTCTTTTAAATTCAGAAAAGAAAAGTAGAATTTCTTAACTATGATCTATAAATAATGGGTACGTGGAGAAAAACTTCAGAATTAGATGGTAAAATGTTATAAACCTACTCACCGACTACTGACTCTGACTGATGTCAGGATAGCGTTTTTGGTGCTAGGCTGCCTGACCCGACCATGGTCAGGTCCAATTTTCCTGTTTATTCCTACTAATACACGATATTAGTCGGACCTGGCAGTCTATAGGGAACCCGTGCAAACCTTACACCGTAACTAATTCCGGTTGTTAGAGTTATTGGTTGCTTTTTTCGTCAAAAGAATTTAATCTTCTGCAGTATGTAGCAGTGGATAATTCTGACTTCATCATTCCAAAATAAATAGTTAGTAATGTTCCCTGAAAGCTTTGCAGCATGGCATCGAAAAGAATGTCGAACAGATGTTATATGGTAATAATAATGAGTATGTGAGGCGTCATGGTGAAATCAGGCGCTCATCAAAGTAATGAAATGAAAAATATCGGCATTTTTTAACGGATTTGGCAATTTTTATCTTTTTTTTTTTTTTTTGGCTCAACACCGTATGTCCTTTTGAAAACACATTTTTGTGTGGATTTTACTGAAAAATGTTGACTAAAGGCACAAAAAATGTAAATTTTTAGTTTCCCAGGACTCTCAAGCTATGGAAGGCACCAAACTTTGAAGCCCATTTTCTCACTAACTTTATCTCTGAAACCCGGCGATCCCGCCTCGTTCAATCGGGAATATCTCGACTTCTGTTCAAGATTTATTTTATTTTTCCATCTAAAGATAGACTAATAAACAAGCTTCAAGATAATACCAATATCTCCAAATGTCCCAAAATTGATGAGCACCTGCTTCCACCGCGTCATAACTCACAGATCTAGTAGTGAAGACAGTGAAGGAGGTGGAGCAGTTTTTGTTTTAGTCAAAATTTTTCATTTCTTCACACATTTTTTCTCAGAGGATCATTGAACAAACTATGTAAACTACATTTCCAACATAAGCAGCTTTCAATGTTTAAAAGCATGGTTTTTAAATTTTCAGTCCAGACGACCAAAGAAGCCAACAATGAATATTTTACAAACTAGTCCAAATAGCTATTATAGCAGTCCTCACCTGTTTCAGCCACAAACTGCCGGCAGTCAGTGAGTTCAGAATCAAAGGAATTAAATGTGAGAATAGTACACATTTGTAGTAAACCATTGGAGGGCAAAGATAAAGCAGTTGGAATGAATCATGGCTGGGAACAGGGCTATTATATTTGCTCATTTGATAAAACTAAGGGGGCTCCAGTGGCTAAGTAAGTAGTGAGTTTAGACTCAAGTAATGTCAAGCAAGTGTCTGTGACATAGGGATCAGATGGGTGGTCACTGGGGTGTGTCCTTGAGCAAGACACGACAACCCTAGCTCAAAATACAGGGCGCTGCACAGTGGTGACCGACAGTGGCATGGTTGTAAACTGTTCTGTGTTTGTGTAATATTGTGTATTTTATGTATGTATTTATGGTTGTTTTTATGTATGTATGTATTTATAATATGTATTTTTGTATGAATATATGCATGTTTGCCTTTGTAAACCAAAGTGCCCTCCTGGAAAAAATAGAAGTGTAATTTATATTATATTATATATATTTTTTTTTATATGAAAATGTTTAATTTTTTTAACCATGAATCATTTGTTTATCTTGGCTTCTAATAATTAGCTCTTCTTTGCAATGTTGCTTTAGAACAAATTGTTGTATTTATTGAAAAACGATATTGACTTTATGTACCTAATCGTTTTCTCATGAAAGTAATATTTATTATTTTGTCGTATATCCGTCCATAATGTACTTACAATTTTTATTGCAAATTTATTTACGCCCTGTCATGTCTTCGGCATCTCATACATCAGTGGTTAATACAGATTTGATCTGATATAAATTAAGAAGCCTTACGAGTAAAATATTTTGTGCTTGGGATGAGAGAAGTTCAGTGCTGCAGAACCTGCTCCAACAGTCACCTGTCTCAACAGTCACCTGTCCCAACAGTCACCTGACCCAACACTAACAGTCACCTGTCCCAACCTAACAGTCACCTGTCCCAACAGTCACCTGACCCAACACTAACAGTCACCTGTCCCAACCTAACAGTTACCTGTCCCAACACTAACAGTCACCTGTCCCAACAGTCACCTGTCCCAACAGTCAACTGTCCCAACAGTCACCTGTCCCAACAGTCACCTGTCCCAACACTAACAGTCACCTGTCTCAACAGTCACCTGACCCAACACTAACAGTCACCTGTCCCAACCTAACAGTCACTTGTCCCAACAGTCACCTGTCCCAATACTAACAGTCACCTGTCCCAACAGTCACCTGTCCCAACACTAACAGTCACCTGTCTCAACACTAACAGTCACCTGTCCCAACAGTCACCTGTCCCAACAGTCACCTGTCCCAACAGTAACAGTCTCCTGTCCCAACCCCAACATTCACCTGTCCCAACACTAACAGTCACCTGTCCCAACACCAACATTCACCTGTCCCGACACTAACAGTCACCTGTCCCAACAGTCACTTGTCCCAACAGTAACAGTCTCCTGTCCCAACACTAACAACAGTCACCTGTCCCAACAGTAACAGTCACCTGTCCCAACATTCTCCTGTCCCAACACTGACAATCACATGTCCCAACACTAACAGTCACCTGTCCCAACAGTCACCTGTCCCAACAGTCACCTGTCCCAAGACTAACAGTCACCTGTCCCAACACCAACAGTCACCTGTCCCAACACTAAAGGTCACCTGTCCCAACAGTCACCTGTCCCAACACCAACAGTCACCTGTCCCAACACTAACAGTCACCTGTCCCAACACTAACAGTCACCTATCCCAACACTAACAGTCACCTGTCCCAAGACTAACAGTCACCTGTCCCAACACCAACAGTCACCTGTCCCAACACTAACGGTCACCTGTCCCAACAGTCACCTGTCCCAACACCAACAGTCACCTGTCCCAAGACTAACAGTCACCTGTCCCAACACCAACAGTCATCTGTCCCAACACTAACGGTCACCTGTCCCAACACCAACAGTCACCTGTCCCAACACCAACAGTCACCTGTCCCAACACCAACAGTTACCTGTCCCGACACCAACAGTCACCTGTCCCAACACCAACAGTCACCTGTCCCAACACTAACAGTCACCTGTCCCAACACTAACAGTCACCTGTCCCAACACTAACAGTCACCTGTCCCTACAGTCACCTGTCCCAACAGTCACCTGTCCCAACACCAGCGGTCACCTGTCCCAACACTAACAGTCACCTGTCCCAACAGTCACCTGTCCCAACACTAACAGTCACCTGTCCCAACAGTCACCTGTCTCAACAGTCACCTTTCCCAACAATACAGTCACCTGTCCCAACAATCACCTGTCCCAACACCAACATTTAATTTAAGGCAATTAAATTTAAAAAATCAACTGATTTAAATCGACCTGATTTAAAATCAACCCAACCCTATAAAAGAGTAGGCTTCGGACGCCATCAGGGGAAAATTCAAAATTAATCCCTACCGAACTGAAAATGACTTGTGTGTCCTGCGCGCTCATGACCCTATGCAGTTGCGAGCGACGTAAAACTCTTTGTAGTACTAAGGTTGGCCTTGGCAGACCGGACCGATCAGGCCGTCCCCTAACCTATATAATTGTGTTGACAACGACTTAGAATATTAAACTCATTCTTTTTCGACTCTGTGTGTGTGTGTGTGTGTCAGTGTGTGTGTGTGTGTGTGTGTGTGTGTGTGTGTGTGTGTGTGTGTGTGTGTGTGTGTCGTCGAGGGGGGGGGGCGGATGTATGAGGCACCGGAGGAGACTTAAGATGAAGTAGCATTGTGCAGAACATCGGACTTTCCTTTCTATCTCTCGGACTGAACCGGGACGACATTTTGTGGCCCACTTTGTCTTCTTTTGCCACATGCACCATCATAACAAGACATGCAATGTAGACAAAATACAGTCGTTGCCAATGGTTTAAAAACTCATGCCTGGAGAAAAAAACCAAAGCCATTGTTCATAATTTTATTTTTTCAATTTCAGTAAAAGTTCTGCGGTGCTTGCATTGCTTTGGGATCAAATTTTCACTAGTGATGGCAGCAATAATCATCGTTCTCTTCCACCTCAAGATGTAGCTGTAGCTTCCTTTTGCACCATCTTCGTCATCATTATCGTTGTTGTTTAGTACCGGTAATGTAATACGTCGTTAACTTCTAGGAAGATTGTCCTGGCGAAACGTGGGGTTAAAAAACAACAACAATCAAACGTTCTCAATTCCAAACTTTAATAAACCAAGCCTATGAACTACAGTCCAAAAGGACAGTTCTTCTGGATACTTTTAAAGTGGAGACACCCAGACAATCTTGCGAGTGAACTACGGGGTCACCTGTCCCAACACTAACAGTCACCTGTCCCAACAGTCACCTGTCCCAACAGTCACCTGTCCCAACAATACAGTCACCTGTCCCAACAATCACCTGTCCCAACACCAACATTTAATTTAAGGCAATTAAATTTAAAAAATCAACTGATTTAAATCGACCTGATTTAAAATCAACCCAACCCTATAAAAGAGTAGGCTTCGGACGCCATCAGGGGAAAATTCAAAATTAATCCCTACCGAACTGAAAATGACTTGTGTGTCCTGCGCGCTCATGACCCTATGCAGTTGCGAGCGACGTAAAACTCTTTGTAGTACTAAGGTTGGCCTTGGCAGACCGGACCGATCAGGCCGTCCCCTAACCTATATAATTGTGTTGACAACGACTTAGAATATTAAACTCATTCTTTTTCGACTCTGTGTGTGTGTGTGTGTGTCA